AATGGTGTCTTCTCTGACTCCACTCTTCTCCCTGTATCTCTATTTGGATTTCCCGCCTGGCTCTACTCTGTCTGGCTATTGGCCAAACCAGCATCTTTATTAAACATATTCACAGCACACAGAAAGACATCCCACACCAAGGATCAGAAGTTCAAGGTCATTCCTAGCTACACAGAGAGTCAAGGGCCCCTGGGATACATAGGAACCTGTCACAAACAACATCGTCCATAAGTAAAGACCTGTTTCCAGGTCATTTCACAGCCATACTGGGGTCCTGCCCCCCATCACTGCCCCTCCCCATCACTGCCTCCCCCGTCACTGCCCCTCCCCATCACTGCCCCTCCCCATCACTGCCCCTCCCCATCACTGCCCCTCCCCCGTCACTGCCCCTCCCCGTCACTGCCCCTCCCCCATCACTGCCTCCCCATCACTGCCCCTCCCCATCACTGCCTCCCCCCATCACTGCCCCTCCCCATCACTGCCTCCCCCGTCACTGCCCCTCCCCCATCACTGCCTCCCCATCACTGCCCCTCCCCATCACTGCCTCCCCCCATCACTGCCTCCCCCGTCACTGCCCCTCCCCCATCACTGCCTCCCCATCACTGCCCCTCCCCATCACTGCCCCTCCCCATCACTGCCCCTCCCCCATCACTGACTCCCCATCACTGCCTCCCCCGTCACTGCCCCTCCCCATCACTGCCTCCCCCCATCACTGCCTCCCCATCACTACCCCTCCCCATCACTGCCTCCCCCCCATCACTGCCTCCCCATCACTGCCTCCCCATCACTGCCCCTCCCCCATCACTGCCCCTCCCCATCACTGACTCCCCATCACTGCCCCTCCCCATCACTGCCTCCCCCCCCTCACTGCCCCTCCCCCCATCACTGCCCCTCCCCATCACTGCCTCCCCCGTCACTGCCCCTCCCCCATCACTGCCTCCCCATCACTGCCCCTCCCCCATCACTGCCTCCCCCATCACTGCCCCTCCCCCCATCACTGCCTCCCCATCACTGCCTCCCCATCACTGCCCCTCCCCCGTCACTGCCCCTCCCCCATCACTGACTCCCCATCACTGCCCCTCCCCATCACTGCCCCTCCCCCATCACTGACTCCCCATCACTGCCTCCCCCCATCACTGCCCCTCCCCCCATCACTGACTCCCCATCACTGCCTCCCCCGTCACTGCCCCTCCCCCCATCACTGCCCCTCCCCATCACTGCCTCCCCCCCATCACTGCCCCTCCCCCATCACTGACTCCCCATCACTGTCTCCCCATCACTGCCCCTCCCCATCACTGCCCCTCCCCATCACTGCCTCCCCATCACTGCCCCTCCCCCCATCACTGACTCCCCATCACTGCCTCCCCATCACTGCCCCTCCCCATCACTGCCCCTCCCCCATCACTGACTCCCCATCACTGCCTCCCCATCACTGCCCCTCCCCCATCACTGCCCCTCCCCCATCACTGCCTCCCCATCACTGCCCCTCCCCTGTCACTGCCCCTCCCCCCATCACTGCCCCTCCCCCATCACTGCCCCTCCCCATCACTGCCCCTCCCCCATCACTGCCTCCCCATCACTGCCCCTCCCCATCACTGCCTCCCCATCACTGCCCCTCCCCCATCACTGCCTCCCCATCACTGCCCCTCCCCCATCACTGACTCCCCATCACTGCCCCTCCCCCATCACTGCCTCCCCATCACTGCCCCTCCCCATCACTGCCTCCCCATCACTGCCCCTCCCCCATCACTGCCTCCCCATCACTGCCCCTCCCCCATCACTGACTCCCCATCACTGCCCCTCCCCCCATCACTGCCTCCCCATCACTGCCCCTCCCCATCACTGCCTCCCCCCATCACTGCCTCCCCGTCACTGCCCCTCCCCCATCACTGCCTCCCCCCATCACTGCCTCCCCATCACTGCCCCTCCCCATCACTGCCCCTCCCCATCACTACCCCTCCCCCCATCACTGCCCCTCCCCCCATCACTGCCCCTCCCCCATCACTGACTCCCCATCACTGCCCCTCCCCATCACTGCCCCTCCCCATCACTGCCTCCCCCCATCACTGCCCCTCCCCCATCACTACCCCTCCCCATCACTGCCCCTCCCCCCATCACTGACTCCCCATCACTGCCCCTCCCCATCACTGCCCCTCCCCATCACTGCCCCTCCCCCATCACTACCCCTCCCCCATCACTGCCCCTCCCCCATCACTGACACATGCTCCACTGCAGTACCTCAGCAGCTGTGGTGTCCACACAGCAGGGCCTGGTACCTGGTGCACTTAAGGGGACACAGCAGGGCACTGTCCGTGTGTTCACCTCAGCAGCCTAAGTGAGAAATGCTGGACTCCCTCCACCTGGGCCTTCTCTCCAGCCACAAGACAGTGCAGGTCCTGCTAAAGTTGTCTCTTCGGGTTCTTGTCAGAGCAAACATGACCTTGGACCTTACTACTCAAAGTGTGGCATCTGGGCCAGCAGTCATCATCTCCAGGGGACTGAGTGTTAATGAACTGAGCCTGAGCACGGACACCCACCTTGTGACAGGCCAGGTTGCACACCTTCCAGCACAGACGCCTTACTCTAGCCATTTTTTGAAGGTTTCTTCCACTGGCTTATTTAATCACAACCTCAAACCTTCTCTCCAACTCTAGACTCTTCCCACAAAGGCTCTCTTTTCTGTTCTTTGTGGAGCCCCAGAAGTCCCACAGCCACCTTCATTACTATCTCAGTCACAAACTGGTCCTTCCTTCCTGCCACTGCCGGTGAACCCCACAGTCAAACCAATAGTCTGATAGCTCTTACCCTGACAGGGTGACACAGCTAACAGGCTAATTCAAATTCAGCAGGATCCTGTTAAGCAAGGAGACAGGTATCTGTGCCTCAGGCTTCCTAGAGGCCTCCCTCTTTTGAGGCCCTTTGTTATGGAAACAGGTCTATACCAACAAGTGACTGCCTTGGTGTGTGTGGGTGTGTGTGTGTGTGTGTGTGTGTGTGTGTGTGTGTGTGTGTGTGTGTGTCTTTATTATGGAAACACATCTATACCAACAAGTGACTGCCTTGGTGTGTGTGTGTGTGTGTGTGTGTCCCTTTGTTATGGAAACAGGTCTATACCAACAAGTGACTGCCTTGATGTGTGTGTGTGTGTAGACCTTTCCAGAAACCAGGGACTATACCCAGGCTGCTCTCTTGCCAGTATATTCAGAACCTTAACTTCACAGCAGCAAAGATGTTCCCATCATGCCCAGGGCCTGTGTGGACACAGGGAATGGTTATAGTTCTGGGAGATAGCTGATGGGTGTCTTGTGCTTTGCGAAGCAGCTCCAAGGCAGCTGGGAAACACAGAGCATGGACACTGCATACCAAAGCCATTTTCAGGGCTAGCTGGTGGCCTTTCCTTTTTCTTCATTATTGAGAGACAGTTTTCTTAGTTTCTGTACTCACACCCATGCAGATAAGACCTTACACATTTAACACAGTGCATTAACCCTAGACAGATGGAAGACAATGAAGCCTTCCTGGACCTAATGGCTGCTGACTTCTGTACAAGGCAAGGCTTTTTATAACTGGTGAGAGAAGAGCTTGGAGGTGAAGGCTTGTGGAACAGAATTTTCCAGAAGGTAAGGCAATGACACTGGGGCACACAGTCCCTGAAGAGGCCCCCAGGTGAGGAAGCAAAGCCACAGTGCACTGCCTCAGGCCCACAGCAACAGGGAATTCTATGCCATTAGCACGGCACCTATGATAGCTAATCAACTTGACACACAGGGGAAGAGGAAAGTTAACTGATGAACTGCCTACAGCTGGCCTGTGGGTGTCCTCTTGGTTATTAACTGATAGAGGGGGTACAGCAGGCTGTGGGCAGGTGGGCCTGGGTTATTTAAGAAAGGTGGCTGAGCAAGCAAGCCAGTGAGTGGCATCTCTCGGTGGTCGTCATCTCCCTGGATGATGGGCTGTGGCCTAGGATTGCAAGATGAAATAGCCCCTTCCTCCCCAATGCTGCTTCTGGCCGGTGGACTAGCACAGCAGTAGAAGACTGGTCCAGTTCACCTTTAGCTCACCCCTCCCTTAGAACACGAGCTGACACCACTTGAGGTGTCCTGCGGTTCTGCTTCTTTTAAGTACAAGCTGTTCCTGCATGCAGGAAGCCGGAGAAGACTCGCAAACCCAGCAGTGTGAATCTTAAAGACAGGAATACTACAGGACTCCTCATCGCCACCAAGATTAAAATGGCCAAGAGCATGCCTTTAGTCCCAGCACTTAGGGCTAAAGTAATTCTCCAAGTTTGAGGCCAGCCTGGTCTCTATAGGAAGCCTAGCAAGTGCTACACAGTGACACCCTGTCTCAGAGGGGGGTCTAGAAGAATACCAAGACCACAGACAGCACTGATTTCAACCACCAAAGGTACTTTATTGTGGAAAGTTCTACGTATTACATAGGCATTAACATCCTCCCTCCCATCCCCACACCCCCTGCAAATCCAGAAAGATTAAAAAAACCAAACATGTCATGTATAAAAACCTCTAACAAGCATCAGTGTGTGTGACCGAGCCTCCTGAGGGACTGGCCTTCAGTAGACTGCCAGGCTTTCCCTTCCTGGGGGGCAAAGGCCAATGCTTCTGCTCCCTTTTCAGAGATCCATTTCTCCATCGCTACACATTGTCATTCTCCACTTGACACCTTCTTAGAAACTTGATTGTGGGATGCGTTTTTAATTTGGCAAAAATTCAATATGGCTTTGCGTGGGATGTTTAGTGTCAGAAGCGGCAGTGTTGATGCTCAGGCTCTGAGGGAAAATAGAGAGCGGTGTGTATCCCTGAAGAAGACACGCTGGAGGCTGGAAGGGGCGGTGGAGTTAATGCCTCAGCACCGCCTGGTTTTCAAGTCTGTGACTGCTGACCAGAATACGAATGCCCCCAAAGATGGCCCATCTGCTTTATTTTGTCCCGGGGTCTCAGCATGGGTACGCACGACACCAACACATGGCATTCTGTCATCCGGAAGGTGGCTCAATAGGACCGTCATAGAGGACCTGGGTGTGTCCAGACAGCATCACACCTACCCAGAAGGGTACGCCTTGAGGATCTTCACGTCATCCACAGGACGGTCCTGGGAGTTTGTTTCCACCATGCCCACTCGATTCACCATTCCTATACCCTGGCACACTCGGCCAAAAATGGTATGCTTGCCATCCAGCCATTGGGTGGGGGCAAGGGTCACGAAGAACTGGCTGCCATTGGTGTCTGGTCCTGCATTGGCCATTGCAAGAATCCCAGCCCCTGGGGGAGATGAGAAGAGACAAGACCATGAACAAGGGCTCCTCAATCCAGCAGAGTGCCTACACTGTCAGTGGACACAGGGCTGCATGCTCATCTCTGCCGCCAGTTTCAGGTCCATAGCCTCTTCCTGGGCAGGGTGGACTCTTCCTGCACCACCCCAATAGCCTCGATGCCTCTGCCTCTGTCCAGCTTCACCTGTGCCGCTCCTCACTGCCCCCACTGCAGCTCCTCACTGCCCCCCACTGCAGCTCCTCACTGCCCCCACTGCAGCTCCTCACTGCCCACACTGCAGCTCCTCACTGCCCCCACTGCAGCTCCTCACTGCCCCCCACTGCAGCTCCTCACTGCCCCCCACTGCAGCTCCTCATTGCCCCCACTGCAGCTCCTCACTGCCCACACTGCAGCTCCTTGCTGCCCCCCACTGCAGCTCCTCACTGCCCCCCACTGCTGCCCCCCACTGCAGCTCCTCACTGCCCCCCACTGCAGCTCCTCACTGCCCCCCACTGCAGCTCCTCACTGCCCCCCACTGCAGCTCCTCACTGCCCACACTGCAGCTCCTCACTGCCCCCCACTGCAGCTCCTCACTGCCCACACTGCAGCTCCTCACTGCCCCCACTGCAGCTCCTCACTGCCCACACTGCAGCTCCTCACTGCCCACACTGCAGCTCCTCACTGCCCACACTGCAGCTCCTCACTGCCCCCACTGCAGCTCCTCACTGCCCACACTGCAGCTCCTTGCTGCCCCCCACTGCAGCTCCTCACTGCCCCCCACTGCTGCCCCCCACTGCAGCTCCTCACTGCCCCCCACTGCAGCTCCTCACTGCCCACTGGCCCATGTTACTCATTCCTCCCAAGAGCCCAGCAATGCCTTGCTTCGCTCTGAGGATGCTTCAGAGCCTTTACTTTATGACATTTAACAATTGGGTAGAGTCCAAACAGAGGCCAGCACTCGGAATCGCTAAGGACTCTCAAGAGGCGCTGCTTTCTTTCATCTGCCAGGGCATTCTGTGGCGCCATGGCTGGGCAGCTGTCTGGCACCATGCCATGGTGTCAAGCACATACACACACACCTTGAACCACAGCCAAAAAAGTAAGCTTTCACTATGTATTCCCTCTCCTGCCCATCCAGCCAGATCACACACTTACCAGTGAACTTCAGGTCTGGATGAAGTTCATCTTCAAACTGTTTGCCATAGATAGAAGCGCCACCACGACCTGTCCAATCAGAAGACAAGTAGTGACCCGCCAGTCCCACAGTCTACCACAAAGAAGAGCCCAAGGTCAAAGGACTTTTCAGAGCACAGGGATGTTACAGGCAGTGTGCACCCCAGCCCCCAGTAAACACACCAGTGTGTTTCATTTAGGTAAGTTGTAACATTTGCTCGTTAAGTTAATGTCCACTGTCAACATGCTGGAAGTACAGAATAGAACAGCATCCAAAGGGGCAGTGGCACCAGTGTACCCAACCTCTACAAAAATGCTTCACTCATGCCCTGGTAGGCAGCTTGAGGATTTCAGCAAGAGTGTCGGACTCCAAGCCCAGTGCCCACCGCAGACACTGTTAACCAACACACCCTTCCCTGCTGTGCTTAGCTACTGCCCACAATCCTACCAACCCACTACTCCAGGCACCTGCTGTAGAAGGATCCAAGATGGCTGCTGCTTCCCCAAAGCCAGGAGATGGAAAGGGAAAGCTATCAGCTTAGGGAGGGACAGGGATGGTAGGTAATGTACACAGAGGAACAGCATCACACAGGAAGAGTCACCATCTACTCCCAGAGACCGCCTGCCTCACAACCACAACAGCCCTGGGCCTGTGGCATTCTGGATCAGTTCTGGTCTCACCTGTGGCCAACTGTTACTCGTGCATAATAAATCACCTTTCTTGCTGTCTCAGCTGGAGAATGGCATATATAGACAGACAGACAGATGGATGGATGATAGATAGACAGATAAAACTATCTCCAAAACTCTCCAGCTCCCCACCCCACCCCATCCCCAGCCCTGGGGAGAAACAGATGGACATCTAAGTCATGACAAGAAGCGTGGGCTGACACAATGGTCACTGTGTTTGGTGCCACTTGTCCCCATCCCACCCATGACAGGCAGCAGATTCCTATCCAAGCCAAAAGGAACCATGGTAGGCAGCAGCCCATAAGGAGGGCCACATGGGCACTGGACACCTAGTAAGCTGACCTCTCCTCTGGTGACAAAACCTCCAAGGAACACTTGAGGCCACTGTCCCCCAGGCATTCCCAGCGCTTTCTCCCCACCTTCTCTGGCCTCAAAGACAAGTACAGGTGGCTCCTTTGCAGCTAGCTGAGGCTCATGGCCCAGTTCTATCCCACAACATAAACAAGCCTGCTAGGTCAAACTTCCAAGCCAGCACTTGCCATATAAACACAAACAAGCTCTCTCCTTTGCATTTCCTGTTGCCTTTTCTCATCTTCCTTCGAAAGCAGCTGCAGCCCTCTTGCAAGATCAAAGGCCAAAGGTTAAGAGTGGCACATGGGAGCATGCAGCAAGCTTGGCCCTCAACAACTGTGCTGGGAAGTGAAGTTATGAGAACATGCTTTCCTTAGGGTGTTTTATAGGGTGGGAGAAACAACACAGACATAAAGGCTGCCATGCTGGTTTCTTAGAGCCAAAAGCACCACCCAGTGACACAGACACTTAGTAACAGCAGGGCAGAGACCCTCTTGGAAGTCACGTAGGCGCAGAGGAAGTGAGCATGCAAGATATCAGGGACACTGGGCCCACTAACCAAGAGCAGCAGGTACAGTCACCATTTACAGTGGCCAGCAGTCAACCTGGCTGGTCCCCTTCCTCCACCGTCCCTGGCTCTCCTAGCACTTCCAGTTAAGCATGTTCCTCCTGATCCCCATTACCTCCCGTCATTTCTGAACTGTCGGATTCCCCACCACCATGTACTCAAGGTCACACCTGCGAGAAAGCCCAGAGCCACGACTTTCCTGCCTTAGCTTTCTCTTCCCGTCAGCAATCATTAATATTTCCTATCTTAAATGAGAGCAAAGCTCCAGACCCACAGTCCCTCTATGTCCTGGGCCCCCTTCACAGGAGCAGCTGGCTTAGCTCCTCACTCTGACAGGGCCTGAGAGTTGGGGAGCACCACCCTCATTCTGCCCTGAGGACTCCCCACACATACTCATCCCATGGCTCCACTGAGCCCCCCAGGCCTCCCTGGGTCCCAGCAGCATCTCACAGCTGGTACCACTCTTCTCTGAGACTGAATCGATGGTCCCCACTCTCTGGCAGCTCCTTCTCTGTTGGTGCCTTCTTTCTCAGGAGAGAGAACACACCTCTTTCCCCTGGCTGACTCCCCCAGTTAATCTCTGAACACCTAACTGCCTGGTGTCTGCTTTCCAAGGATCAAACAGCTGTTTTTACCCTGGTCCAAACTACAACTATCTCTGCTCAGCCAACCAGGGCCTGCCCTGGGCTCCCGCCCTGCTCTCCTCTTCCCCAGGCAGCCCCTTCATGTAGCTGTTGGGGACCCTGCACTGCCCTGCTTGCAATCCTGTGTGCATTTCACCACACACAGGACGAGACCCACACTACCGCCCCACAGGTCACTCTGTAGTCACTGTCCCCTCCCTACCTTGCCGTGGCTTGCCTCCTGAGCTGTGTCTTGGCACACAGCCTGCTCTAAGGACCCTGAGTGCTGTCCTTTCCAGTGTTCCTGCCCTGCCTCTGGGACTCAGAGTCTACACAACCTTATCAGAGAGGCCTCTCCTATGAGCACTACCCCAGACAGCACTATTCCGTCCTGTGGCCTGGGGACACTGGCTAATGTCAGGAACATAGCTGGTTGTCAAAACTGGATGGTCTACTATCTAGTGGGTAGATGCCAGGCCCGGCCAGCTGCTAAACATCCCTTAGTGCCAGCCCAGCCCACATCAGAGCCGTCACCTCAACCGATGATAAAGCCGAGGGAGGACACGCTGCTCTCTCCCTCCCCTACAGCCATTATTTTCAAGTCACTTGTCATGACCTGACATTCCATTGGGACGGGGCCCCTTCTACCTCCTCATTGGGCTTTCTCCCCACTGGACTACAGCCACAGCAGCCAGCTGACAGGAGTCTAGCAGGTACCTGTGAAATGCTAAATGGATTAACCAAAATTAAATAGCCTTTTGCACTGTTTCTGTGCCAAGCCTTTGCCAACCACTTGACCAGCATGAGCTCATGTAGCTCCCACAATAACCCCAGGAGGAATGAACAGCCACGCTCCCCACCTCCCGACAAGAGCTCTGCAAAGTCACCTAAGCTGTACATGTGTGACAAGTGACTGTGTGGGGCAGGACTCAGGTCTAACACACTAGGCCCCACATTCTTGCTTGACACCTGAATGTGACCCTTCCTTGCCACGGATCCCAGCCGGACTCAGCTTCTCAGGTATTTTTCTTCTTACTTCTGTCACAAGAGTCCCTAGTGCCAAATTAAATCTGATTATGCTGGATCAAACCAGCACTCTTGGTTAGTGGGATCCGCATTAACTGGCCCCATGCTTTTCTCACACGTGTTCAGACTGTTCCTCTCCTCTTCTCTAAACGTGCAGGTTAGAAATGTGTGACTCCTAAGGCTCAGAGTCACCCAACTCCAGTCTCCAGAGGGAACGGTTGGGTTCCATCACAGGACCAATAACACCAGGGACCACAGGCTCCTCCATGCTTCTCTGCAAAGGTATCAAAGCACCCTTGGCTACCCAAGAGTTACATCCTATGATTCCTGCAAGGCTTATCCATGAGTCCTCCTCTCCAGTCTAGCCCTCATCCATTGGGCCACTCCCTCACTATACAGTATCCAACCTGCCTGATACATACAAACCATACAATGCCAGCACAAAGTTGCACATTCATGACTTCACCACATCCCTTTTTCTTAAAACAAACAGCTTGTTTCCTGTGGAGCTAGGAGCTCCACAAGGAGAAAGAATGCCTCGGCATCTGTGCTTTAGCATAGCCTGAAATGGTGTGGGATACCCAGCTGACTCTCAGCAAAGATTCCTTCAATGAGCAAAACTAACAATGGTTTGCTGCTCTGCAAGACAGATTCAGGTGTTTCTGGGGCTATCAGGAGATGAAATCAGAGGGAGGCTGCCTTGAAAGATAACTATGTGTAATCAATCAAGGCCAAGAGCAGAGCAAGATGACCGCACAGACATGCTCGGGAGGGTGTCGGAATGGAACCTAACTGGAGGCGAGGAAGGGTAAGCAGAACCAGATAAAAAGGCTCACAGTAAGCTGATGAAAGGGCAGTGTAGGGTAGGGTAGAGGGGTCTGTCTCAGAGTGAAATGCAGGAAGTCAGAGAGCACCTGAGGAGGACAGGTGTGAGAAGGCTCCTGAGTGGCCAGGCTACAGGCAGCAGGGATGGAGAAGAAACACCCAACTTGCTGACAATCTACAATGTTACCTGCTCAAGTATCTACCTGAGACATTTAGCAAAAGATGCTTCTTTGTCGGCTGGCAGGCATGGTCTAGTGCCTAAGAGAGCTGCCTCCTGCTTGCTTTTCTCACAGATCCGCTGGCAGGCTGAGCAAACATTTGTTATACTTGAGCCTGCAGCATTATTGGAAATCTTTTGAGTGCTTCAATTTCATTAAAGTACATCATGGAAATGTGACATTAGGAAAGATGGCAGAGTAACTACAGAGACAAGATGAGCCAATAGTTCATTTCTGAGTCGTTTACTATTCAAGGAGCATGAGCTCTGGGCACACTGGCATCACAGATTAAAATTCATTTCATTATAGCAATGAAAGGGAGAGAGGGGCATGGTGGCACACACTTTTAATCCTAGAACTTGGGAGGAAGAGCAGGTGGATCTCTGTGAGTTCAAAGCCTGACAGGGTTAACACAGCTACTCAACAGTGAATATGAGGCTTCAAGGTCTGAGAGAGGTTCAGCAAAGGCAGGGAAAAGGAAAAGGCCATTGACCACAGGAAATGTGACAGACACGGAACACAGTCAGCCAGGCCAGGAAACGCTCCAGCATGCTGCTCCAACTCCCTGGACTGAGGGGAGCACATCTGATCTGGATTTCCTGAAGCCGTATCCAAACCAGAAGGCTACGTACAACCAAACTTTTCTAAAAAAGATCTGAGGGGATGAATGTGGCTCCCATATAATACTATACCTACTCAAGGTCTCTTTTTAAGTACAAAGGCAACAGGCAGAGTCTGAAATAGGAACAAACCCCAAAATAGAACCCCCTCAGTCCTGGAAATCAAAAGCAAGAGATGGAACCCTGGCCAGAGATGGCTCAGCCAGGAAAAGGGCTTGCCATGCAAGCCTGACAACCCGAGTTCAGTCAAAACAACTGCTGTGGTGACACACAAAATCTATAATCTTATAGCAAGATAGGACACAGAGACAGAAAAACCTGCTAGAAGCTTCCATGACAGCTGCCCAAAGTAGGCTGTGCAGCAAACATGAGAACTGCCCAAATGAGAAGATAAGAATCAGCCCAGAAAAGTCTCACACACACACTCACTCACTCATACACACACACACACACACTTATATATACATACACTCACACACACACTTATACACATATACATACACTCGCACACACACACAAACCACACATACACACTCACACACACATATACTCTCACACACACAATATTTGAAAAAATAAACACTGCCCCCAGCCCTTGTTAAAATAACTGATCAGCTGATTACCGAATCCACCAGACTACAGACCCACTTGACAACTCACAGACATCAGTGAACTCTAGGTGCAGAGGATTTTGATCTTCAAACATGCACATGGTATAAAGTCATACACACACAGGCAGAAACCATACATAAAAATTATAATTTTTAAAAGTTACCAGGAATAGATAAACATTTTTTTTTTTTTTTTTTTTTTTTTTTTTTTTTTTGGTTTTTTTGAGACAGGGTTTCTCTGTGGCTGTGGCTTTGGAGCTTGTCATGGAACTAGCTCTATAGACCAGGCTGGCCTCAAACTCACAGAGATCTGCCTGCCCCTGAGTGCTGGGATAAAAGCATGCACCACCACTGCCTGGCTGACTGTTCAGCTTTTTATTACACCAATCACAGAAACACATCTTCACACAGTGTACAAATATCCCAAACAGTCCCTTACAGAATACAGTCAGTGGCACACAATCCAGGAGACACCCGATGTCAGCCTGTAACCTCCATACACATGCACACATAGGGACCAAAATGCCACCTAAGTACCTGGAGCTCCCAGTCCCTATCTCCCTGCCAGAGTTCCCCTTAACCCCATACTCATTTCCAACTTCTGACCCTACATTACCTTCCTTAAGGATTCTGAAGTATTTCCAAACTCTCAACAAGACTCAGCTCTTGACTTCCCATTCCAACCTGCCCTCCACACTCAGCACCCCCTTTCACTGCCAGTCAAGAGCTTCAGATGTACCCTTGTCCAGACTGTCAGCAACTCTTCAACAAAGGCAACTTGCTGGGCTGGGGATGCATAAGGCCCAGCATAAGGCTGGGCTGGGGACACAGGCACGTGAACAGGTCCTGGAGCACAGGCCTGTACACCCCTGGGAGCAAGGGACTTCTCCACTTTCTCAAGAGCAGCCTACTCCACCATGTACTTCTCCCCTGGATGGGAATCTGGGCCTGCACTTTTTTTTTTGGAGACAGGGTTTCCTCTGTGTAACAGCCTGGGTGGTCCTGGAACTTGCTTTGTAGTCCAGGCTGTCCTCGAACTCAAGAGACCCGCCTGATTATCTCCCAAGTGCTGGGATTAAGTGTACCATCATACCCAACCTGGGCTTCTATGTAATCTCCGAGCAGCAGCCAGTGGCCTCCAAACACACAGGCCAATCCTGTCATTTTGCTCACAACACAGCAGTGACTGTGACCCTTCTTAGGAGACCCAGTCTACTCTTCCTTCTGAAAGGTCTACACAGGCTCCACCCAGTGCCAAGGCTCCAGCAGCATCCCACGGAGACCTGTTCTAAAACTGGATCCCCATACCTCCCCAACTTTTTTGAGAGCAGGCATTTGCCTCTTTGCTCACAGCTGTGTCCTGAGAGCTTAGTTGCTGACACAGCAGCTGCTCAACATGTGTCAGGTGAATCAGTTAATAAAGGAACCCAACACTTTATTTCTAAGACCCAGGATTGTCTTGTTTCCGCTCTGACTGCCCGGGTTCCACACCATGATTCTGGCAGTATTGTTTGCTCATAGCAAATGGCACAAGAAAGTCATGAAGACTACTCCCCAGTGAGTGACACAGGTGACTCTGAGGAAGGCAGGAAGATCAGCAATTCAAGGACAACTGGGCTACCTTGATAGCCTATCTGAGAGAGAGATGGGGGTGGGAGTGTTACTACTGACGTAGCTCAGTTGGCAGAGTGCTTTGGAGGGGTGCTGCTACAGATGCAACTCAACAGGCAGAGCGCTTGTCCACTGTACCCTAGCACTACAGAAGCTAAGCATGGCAGCACACACAAATCCCAGCACTAAGGAAATAAAGGCAAGAAGATCAGAGGATTAGGGTGTTCTTAGTGGCTAGCCTGAGCTAGGAGGCCCGGTCTCAAAAGAAAAACAAACCAGATCCAGCAAATGGAAAAGCAAGCTGTGACTGCCTTACCACCCAGATGTGACAGAGTGATACTTAAGTCACTAACTGTACCTGTCCCTGTTGGGTCACCGCCTTGGATCATGAAGTCCTTGATGATCCTGTGGAATTTGGTGCCGTTGTAGTATCCCCGCCGAGCCAGCTCTGCAAAGTTCTTGCAGGTCTTTGGAGCATGTTTCCAGTACAGCTCCAGCACAATGATCCCCATGCTGCATTGGGACAGACAACATGCAGTCAGCAAGGTCACAGCTAGCAACAGCATGGGCTACTAGGACTTTTGTTGTTCAACCTTGTGAGGCATCAAACTTTGACCAGAGTTCAACCTTCTCATCAAACTGTGACCTGAGTTCTACCCAGAAGGAAACAACCCACAAAGCAACAAGACTACAGCCAATCACGAAGTGTGATACACAGAACCGCTTCTAGTATATGTTCTAAATAAAACAACACAGACAAGATTCTAAGCACATATACTGATGCTCCAAAACCAACCCTAAACAAGGAGAAGGGCCTCACATGTCATCTGCAGGTTTAATAAAAAAGATTATTCAGTGTGGGGAGTTTATATACACTTTTATGGGGGGGATAGTGCCTGCCCAGATAAAACACAGGATAAATATCTTTTCTAACATTTATGTTTTGATCATGTAAATATATCAACTATTAAGATCAAAATTGCATAGAAAAATAAAAGCAATGTGTTAAAAAGAGGGCCACACAGGGCTGGAGATGACTCAGCTGCTAAGAACATGTATTGTTCTTACAGAGGACCTGGGGTGGGGAGAGGGGGGCTGGTAGGTAGTTCAGTTCCTGGCTCTCCCATCAGGAGGCTCCCAACCTCCTGATATCTCTGGCCTCTAAGGAAGTGAATGTGTAACAATGTAGTGAGATAGTCTTTATTATTAACCAGTATGAGAAACATATACAGAATGACATCTCCCATCATAACAACACAGATGCCAAGGCTAGTTTATTGCACATGTCTACACACAACCAGTATGAGCATTTTTATTCTCTCCCCCCAGTACCTTTAAGGACAAGACAGAACCAAGAAAAAAGGCAAGGGGCTCATGATGTATGCCATCACCCACTGAGCTCTAGGGACTGAGTTGCTTCTGTAAGGCCCACAGACAGGAGGCCCAGCAGTGTGAGCACTCCAGTAGAGCCTGGCGGTGGTGGTGCACGTTTTTAATCCCTGTTCTTCAGAGGCAGGCAGATCTCTGAGTTTGAGACCTAGTCTACAGAGTGAATTTCAGGATAGCCAGAGGTACACAGGGAAACTGTCTCAAAAATATAATAAATAAATCTATAATAAACAAATGCATATCGAATGTACTAGAAAATCATTTTCTGGCAGCCTTCCTGCCTGAAATTCACCCTTCTGCTGGCTACTAACCAACACAGGTTTAGTCATGCTGCCATGGGAGGGCACTACCTGAGATGTTCTTCCCCTGGGAGCTTATTCTGGTGGGGTTTTTTCCTTCCCATTTTGTTTGATGGGTACTGTTCTTAATTAACTTATTTATTGCGTGCACATGGCTGTGAATGTGCCGTTGACACACACATAGAGGTTAGTATGATTTTCAGGTCAGGAGTCAGGTCTCTCCTCCCATCAAATGGATCCTAGGGATCTCACTCTCAGGCTTGGTGGCAGACCCCTGTACCCACTGCGCCATCTTACCAGCCCTAGTAGGAACTTCCTAAATACAACAGATAACAAAGAATAGTAGGTATGAAGTATTTATATAATTCATGTGCCCCTGAGCAATCTCAACTACTAAATATCTGTCTCTAAGTTACAGTTGCCTAAGAGTCTGTGTGTACAAATACAACCCAATATAACAGATGCAACATCTGCCACTGTAAGAAAACTAGGAGTAGACCAAGCAGTGGTGATGGGTACCTTTAATCCCAGTGCTTGGGTGGCAGAGGCACGCGGATCTCTATTAAGTTAAAGGCCAGCCTGGTCTACAAAACAAGTTCATTCTACCTTGAACCTCTCAGAGACTGAGCTCTGGAACTCAGCATGCTAAACAGTCTCTACCAACTGAGCCATACCCCCATCGCAAAGATCTCTTGGAGGAGAGAGGGGATTCGTCTTCCTCTGCTTTCAAAGCAATTTGTTCACTACTTTTCCCGTAGTGTTCACACATCTGTATACTTCACTATAATACACTGTTTTATCTAGTTCTGTGTCCTCAAAAGTCCAAATCCTACGTGCATGGCTTGTGAACTCAACACACACTTGTTGAGAACAAGTGGGTAGGTGAGTGAGTGAATGAATGAATTCATGAATGAATATGGATATAGAGCAATGAACTAATGAACCGGGTGGGAAAGGACAGCAGACACAAGTCGCTGAGGTCTGCCGCGATGCTGGAGGGACTCTCCCTTGCGGTCCCTCCATAACTCACGGGTACTCCCGGTCGCAGCTCCGTGCCGTCCACGTGCGAGTCAGACCGGCCTCTCTCAGCCTGGCCGCTGCGGCACGAACCCACGTCTCCTCGGCCAGTCCAGCCCCCAACCCTCACCTAGTCTCTAGGTAGACGTTGGGCGGCTGCCAGGTGTCAGGGGGAATCGCCGCCATTCTGAGGGAAGGTATCCCCTAGCGATGGTTACTTCCGGCGGAGTTCGCCGAGGACCCGTCCCGGGTGCGGACACTTCCGGTTCCCGCGGATCAGCGGGTTTTGGTGATGAGGTTTAGAGCGCTGGGACAAGGACGATGGAAGCGTTTCTTTCGAGGCTGGGAAAGGGGTAGCCAGACGAGATACCCAGTGCACGCACCCAGACAAGCGCAAGATCCTTCAGCGGTGATTCGCGCCATGCTGCGGAACGGTGATTGGTCTGTTTATGCACGGGAGGCGGGAACAACCGTCTTCATTCTGATTGGAGGGATGTCCAAACATTGAATACATTTTCATTTCCCTGATTTGTATGTCTCAGAAATGAGCTGTACTACTTAGTACGTACCCCTGACTCACTCTGTAGACCAGGCTGGCCTCGAACTTACAGAGATCCTCCTGCCTCTGCCTCCCAGGTGCTGGGATCTAAGGTGTGCACCACCATGCCCAGCGCACTTATTATTTATTTATTACTACTACTACTACTACATCTGTTTTACAAAGCAATCCTGTAGATAACAGTATTCCTGGTTTTCAGATGTGGAAACTGAGACTCCGCGGTTAAGTGCCACATAGCGATTCTGATCCTCCAGCCTCCAAATGCAAGGACCATATGGAAAGAAGAAAAGGTCAGGAAAGAGAATGACTAGACTTCAAATGACTGCAGCCGGCTGTGTGGCTCATGCCTTTAACCTCAGGAGGCGGTCGGTGACAGACCGATCTCTGAGTTCAAGGCCAGTCTGGTGTACAGAGTGAGTTACAGGACCGTCAGGGCTACACAGAGAAACCCTGTCTCAAAATACAACAAAAACATAAACCATTGTCTTTTGATAGGTTGCCACCCCAAAGTTGTTCAGGGTGGCCGGAGAAACAAAGAAGAGTCAAGAGGTATAGAGGGAGGACAAGATAGAGGTGGGATGAATAAACTAGTATTGTTAGGGCTGGAAATGTAGGCCAATTAGACTGGCTTGGTAAAGTGCCCACTGCACAAGTACCTGAGGTTAGGTCCCCAGCACTCATGGAAATGCCAGGCGGGTATGTATCTGTGACCTACTCACTGAGGAGGCAGAGACAGACCCAAGGATCCACAGAGCTGACAGAGCTGACTGGCCAACCAGTCTAGCCCAAACAGCTTGCTCCAAGTTCAGTGAGCCACAAGGAAAAATGTATGTTTTATATTAAACATCCCACCATTAACAGCAAAGAAGTAGGGAAATATTTACACCCTCTCTTCAGTTCTAAGATGCATCCTCCCTCCCACCCGCCCACTTCCTGCATAGCAAGGCAAAAACAAAGCAAATATAAACCCGAACAACCTTTGGTTCCCAAGAAAATTGAGAAAAGGGTATTACAGAAATCTGAACCCTTGGCATGCATTGGGCTTACAAGCCCAACAGAACTGGGGGGTAAGAATTCATGGGAAACTCTCCCATCAAAGGCTAGATAAATAAAAGTGACTTTATTTGTTTTGTGTGTATGTGTGTGCCTGAATGTGTGTGTATGCACCATGGGCACACATGAGCCCTCAGAGGCCAGAAGAGTGTGTCTGATGCCCTAGAACTGGACTTATGTGCAGTTTTGACCTGGAAGCTAGGAATAGAACCCAGGCCCTCTGCAAAGCAGTAAGTGCTTGTAATACCTGAACCATCTCTCCATCCTCAAGAATGACAGACAGTTTCTTGGGCTCAGAAGATGGCTCAGAGGGTAAAGGCGCCTGCTACCAAGCCTAATTACCTGAGTTCAGCCAGGGATCTACACAGCAGAAGAAAAGAATGAACACCCATAAGATCTACACACACACACACACACCCCAGAGGCAGGGACTATGGCTCAGTGGTAGAGCATTTGCCCAGAATATTAGAAGCTCACACTGAAACATCAAAGCAGCTAGCTCCCACAGCCTGACATCATAGGTGCTTTTTATCTTTTTTTTATTTTTTTTTAAGTGTTTGAAAGTGTTTTGAAACATCTTTAAAGTTTTGGCATCTTTAATGTGTTCTACAACTGTGTTATATTAAGGTAAGCCATGTTGACTTAAAAATCCAGGGTCGAATCAGGCCAGCTCCATGTGCAGTCCTTTCTGACCTGTATTTTTCCCTGTGAGCTGTGTGAGGCTTGTCTGTATTTGTGAGGTTGGATGAGGTGATGGTAAGCCTGAGTCACTCCTCATGCATCAGTAGGCCTTCAGGGGTCATTCAGGCAGGCTACCACAAAAAATGCTCTTGTCTCCTCCTCCTCCTTGGGCATGGCTTATCTCAAGCTTCCTTTCAGCTACCCTGCTGTGGGAAGCACGTGTAACACCATCCTTGTGCTTAGGCATGTCTGTCTTTCTGGGTGCCTATTTTTCTCCCTTAATCCCTGTGGCTTAAGTCATTAAAAATATCTTTATAAAAATCTCTAACTCTGCTTTAAATTAGTTAGGCCTGGAAATCTCTGCTGTATCCAGGTCATGAATCCTCAAGTTTGCCTGAGTCAAGAGCTCTAAAAGATGAATGGACCAATTTGGGCAGCTGAAGGTGATGTTGTCTATCTGTCTGTCACTTTCACCTCTGACATATTGAGGGCTCATTCCTGGCTCCATCTGAAGCAGGTGAGTGTTCCTGAGCATTACTTGGCTGGACTGCCTTGCTATGCAAGGCTTACATGTTATCTTAGTTTCTTTTCTGTTTTTAAAGATTTTTTAATATATATATATATATATATATATATATATATATATATATATATATATATTCATTCTGGCTACATAGATGCCTGCATTGCAAAAGAGGACACCAGATCTCATTACAGATGGTTGTGAGCCACCATGTGGTTGCTGGGAAATGAACTCAGGTCCTCTGGAAGAGAGCAGCCATTGCTCTTAACCATTGAGCCATCTATCTCTCCAGCCCTAGACCCTAAAGACCCTAAAATCTTAAAGATGCTCTCTGTTCTCTCCCGGCCTCTCATCTAAGGGTGCTGCTACTCTGACCTGCACCTTTTCCTGTGAAGTGGGTACCCTTAGGGGAAGGGGACATTTCCTCTTCAATGCAACGTCATGATCTGCTTCACACCTCCAAATAGCCGGAACTCTGCTGGCCTCCTCAGGACTCTCAGTAGGTGTTGTTCTAAAGAAGGGGCTTCTAGAATTTCAAAGGTCAAGATAGATAAATTTATTTTAAGGCTTAGCTACTACATGGTCTGTATCTTTGAACATGGCACTGGCTGAGCAGTGTCTTCACACCCAGGAAGGGGACACCTCCAGGGATGCTTACAGACCCAAATATCATCCTCAGCATTGGTGATCACCAACATCTGGTTAACAGTTGACACTAGATGGCCTGCAGAGCCTGGTCTGGGAAGGGCTCCATAGCCTGCACTGGCACTGGACAGGCAAATGATGCCTGATCCAGCCATCTCTATTTTTACCACCCCACTCCTCGCTGTTCTAGGCATGCATACAAGCATGGGAAGGCAGTTCAGCTTACCATTTTAAGTCTAAAAGGCTTTATTTATCCTACAGTGACATAGTGGAAGTCATTTCTGTCTGGAAGGCATCTCCTCCTCTGCTGTTTATCTCTGGGATCAGGAGAAAGTATTGCTTACATCCACATGACTAGCATCAAGTTTCAAACTCATGCTTCAGCCTGAATGTCCATATGTACCTTAAGTCTTATCACTGGCCAGCCTAGGCTCCGAGTCCATGACTACTGTAAGTTCTCTACCAGGATTGTAGGGAAACCCATATTGTTTAAAACCCACGGATTTGGGAGTAAGGATTTCTTTGGCGCTCAGCAAATGTCTCTGCATACATGTGTTCTGTCAACACGTGCTTGTGTTTTTATACAGTTTCCTTTGTGCCATACTGGCTTAGAAGCAAGTGCTAACATAAATTTAAATTGTTAAATTAACCCAAATTCTAGTTCCTAGTGGACCTGGAATTAAATGCTGTTTCGGGTTTATTTTCTCGTGTATGCATGTTTTGCTGGGATGCATGTTATGTGTGCCCAGTGCACATGGAGGTAAGAGGAGGGTATCAGACCCCTGGAGTGACAGACAGTTTTAAGACATTATGTAGGTGCTGGCAGCTGAGTCACGGTCCTCTGCAGGAGCAGCCAGCGTTCACAACTGCTGATCCACTGCTCCAGCTTGTGTGGATGTAATTTTAAACGGTAAAGAAAAGGTCAGCTTCAACAGTCTTGGTGTGTCAGCTAAGGGAACAGGTAATGGCAGGTGTCATGAGGAGATTTAAATGTGTCTGTGGGGTGGGGTGCATAGAGCGGCCTGATGGCCCTGAGTCTTAGTCTTTTTGTTCTCTTTCTCTGGTTTGTCCCACCCCGTAGTTGTAGCATGAGGGCTAAGCCCAGGTTTTTGCCTGCAGGTCCCGTGCAAAAGTCAGTTAAAGGCTCTGACATAGGGGCTGGAGAGCTGGTAACAGCATGAGCTGCCCTTCCAAAGGGTCTGAGTTCAGTTCCCAGAACCTACATCGTTCTGCTCACCACTCTGTAAGTCCAATGCCTCTGGCCTCTGAAGGCACATGCACTCATATGCAACACACCTTCATGGAGACACACATACACATAAGTAAAATGAGTAAAAATATATTTTTAGAAAAGAGTTCTAAAGTCACAGATAATTTGGACTGAGGAATCTGGCATCAAATGTGGACAACCATACCCTATCTGAAAGAAAAATCTCCAGTAAGTTAACCAGCTCCATAAACTTGTTTGGCTGGTAGAAGGTTAAGCGTTGTGATAATGTTTATGGTACAGTAGTATGGTTGGAGCAGTTTCGTAGACCGTTTAGTAATTCCTACCACAGAATCAGCGGGCAATAGATACAAACGAAGAAATAGATAACGATGTGAGAGATTTGAGTCGAGAACGCTAGTCCTAAGAAGGCGCAGTAGCGCTAGATGGACGCCAGGGGACGCAAGAGCATGAGCTTTCCAAATACCGCGAGAGCTCCCCCGCGCCCCGAGACCTTGCCGGATCCGGTTTCGGGAGCGCGGGGACGCCAAGAGGTTTCCCTTTGTGTTCGAGGCCCGGCCAGCTGCGTGAGAAGCGCTTCCGGGTCGCGCTGCCGGAAGCAGGAAGTTGTTGGCCCATCCTCCTCGCCCGGCGGCTGGTGTCCCCGAGGCGGGAGGAGCCCGAGAGGGCGCGGGCCCGCATGTGAGTGACTGGGGCCCGAGGCCGGGAGGGGGGAGGCCGGCCGCCCTCCGCGGCCGCCGCAGCCTCGCGCCGCCCACCTCGCCGCCGCCGCCACCTTTCCCCTCCGCTCCCGTCCCTGTGCGAGAGCCTCCCGCGCGCGTCCCGCTGAGTGACAACTTCCCCCGGCCGCTCCCTCGGGGTAGACTACCTCCAGGCACCTTTCGGAGGCTCTGCCGAGGGCGGGGAGACGAGCTGCGTCCCACCCTGCTTGAACCAGAAGCCCCGTCCCCGCTCGGCCACCCTGGTCGCGGATCCTTTAGCATCGCGAGAGTGCATCCCCAGACCCCTTCTCAGACATCTTTCCTTCTCTGTTAAGGAGGACATTTATATATAAAATTATATTATAATTTTTTAAAAAGCGTGGACTTAATGTGATAAGCCTGGCGTCTCGGGTTTCAGAAAGGAACGTGTCTTGGTGTACTGACCCGAGTAAAAGAACTGTTTACAGTTGCCTGTCAGTACAAGAAAAATCACCTGCCCGGTGTTATATCGCATTTTTAAGACTTAACCTTGCAGGCCACATGTCGTGAATATGCTGCTATGTTAGAAATATAAAGGGACACGTTTGTCTTTTCACAATGCCGGGACTTGAAGAACAGATTCACAAACTGGGTTCCATTGGCTGCAGTTTTGCCAAGAATTCGAGATTTTCCTTGACAGCTGGCCATTGACAAATATAGGTTATTTTATCCCAGTCTTCATTGGGGATATTATCTCTCACGTGACACGACACATCCACAGTAGTTATATCTCTATATGGGTGACCGAGTGGCTACACGATGGGTAAAGAGACTACAGCAGAGCTCAAAGAAACCTTATGTGAGGCAGCAGAGAATGTTACAGATGTGAAGAAAAAGAAAGTGTTCAGATAAGATGTGCAGGTCTCCGCTGAGGGAAGCCCTGAGCTAGGCCTTGCCCTTGAGGTGAACTTCTTACCCAGAAGGACAGACAGGTGGCCACATCAACAGTGGGTGTGTTCTGGGGAGGGATCTGGCTGGGCTTGAGGTCTAGGGGTAGTTAGGAGTTCTCTGTCAGCCCTTATGAAACACACTCATAGTCCCATGACCAGTCGTGAGGGCTGTTGCCATTGCAATGTTAGAAGTCTTGCTTTTTCTGGGGTCCATGTAGGGCTGGGGTGCTGGATCAGTCTGCTGTATGTTATGAATACTTGGGAATGGTTTTCCTGATAGGAATTCAGTACACTTAGTGTTCATAGGGTCTCAATTCATTTCCATAGGTAAGTAGGTAGGTAGGTAGATTGGTTGGTTGGGTTTTGTTTTGCTTTTCCTCCCTGGATGGCCTGGAACTCAACTGTGTAGACCAGGCTAACCTCCAACTCAAGAGGCCTACCTTTCCCTCATAAATGCCTGGATTAAAGGCCTTCGATGCCACCTCTGGCCACTTTGATAAGCTTATAGGTGAAAAGATTTGTGTGTTTTATTTTTTAGAAGTGATTTGTCAATCTGTGCCTTGTGAGAAGAGCTGACAGGCAGGGGCGCCATATGCATTTTCACTTAAAATGCAGCCAAATGCTGCTCATAAGATGAAGTCACGTAGGGTGAGGCATAAACTGAAAACTGCTGTTTCACACAGCATATGGTAACATATAGAGGAGCACACACAGCTTGATCTAAAAGCCTGCATAACCTTGTTATTGAATGTTCTCTTAGTTACCACCCAGTTGGTAGTATAGACTACTGCATGCTTAGTATGCTAATCCTTCTCATTGCTCATGTGGTAGTTCCCAGGTGGAACTTTTTACAGACATTTCTCTCTCTTTTGGTTAACTTGAACTTATTTCAGTTTCTCTCTTAAGAACATGAATGAAGATGGGCAGTAGTGGTGCACATGCCTTTAATCCCAGCACTCAGGAAGCAGAGGTAGGCAGATTTCTGAGAGTTTGAGGCCAGCCTGGTCTACAGAGTGAGAGTTCCAGGACAGCCAGGGCTACACAGTGAAACCTTGTCTCGAAGAGAACAAAAGACAAAACAAACACCATGAAAGGAATCGGGTGAAGTGCTGGTCTAGTGTGCACAAGACCCCATGTTCAGTTCTCTATACTGAAAGGAAACAAAACAGATTAAATGCTTATGTCAGACATGGTACTAAATGCCTTTAATCCTAGGGCTTGGGAGATAGGGGCAGGAAAATCAGAAGTTCAAGGCCAGCTTGGACTATATGAAACCATATCTTAAACAAAACCCAGCCAAGACACCCAAGTATACATTTAGTGTACAGTGCATATGCACACATGTGTTAATGTGGAAAAGCCCACCTTTGCTGCCTTCCTGTTTTGACTCAGTATTCACATACTCTAATTTGTGTACCAGAAAGAACCAAACATAGGTCCTCTGAGATAGCAGTAATCACTCATAATCACTGAGCCATCTTGGCAGCCTGCATTTCCTCCACTTACTCATTTATCTGCTTTGAAGCTGCCTTTGCTGCCTTTTCTGCCTTGAGCATTTTTGTGACCCAGTTTGAGTCCCTGTCCTCCCCATCTACTCTGTACCACACCAAGTACTCTCTTCCAAGCCTGCTGCATCATAACTCTCTCCAGGCTGATGCATTTCAGAGGAAGTGATGTGAACAAACAACCAGATACAGTCTGGAAACACTGCGCTTTGGGTCCTTTCTGTGAACTCGCCTTTTATGGGTTCCATAACCAAAGTGAATTTCTGTATCTAGTCTTAGCTTTTTTGTGTGTTATTTTCTCCATTTGAAAGATAAATCTCTTGCATTTTCTCCACTTGCCTGCCTTGAAGAACTCACAGTGCAGTTTGGGAGGGAGATGGAGGAGGGGGCACAGAGTGATGGAGCTGCATGAGGTTCAAAGGACAGACTCCAGGTTGAGGGTTTAGCATGTTTGGTTTTTGAACAAAGCAATGCAAAGGGGCTTTTTAGGAAGAGGAAATTATGAGTACAAAACCAGATAGGTGTGAAACGGGATGAAAAAGGGTTAATGGAAAATGAGATGGATCAAGTAGGTGGTGACCAGATTAAAAAGGGATGTGGTAACTAATTAGACTTCATCTTATAACAGTTATTACTAGGTTTCTAATTTACTTAGATATTGAAACAACCATTTCACATATATATCACTGTATAACCCTCAGTTGGAGTAGCTATAATTAGCCCCCCCCCTTTTTTTTTTTTTTTTTTTGGAGACAGGTTCGTATGTAGCCCAGGCTTTGTGGCTGGAACTCCTAATCCTCCTGACTAATTCTTGAATGTTAGCCTTACAGATGTGTACTCCACATCTGGTTCATTACTCCTGTTTTAGGAATGAAACATTTAAGATTTAAGGAGGTTGTCAATATTAGAAGCAACTAGGTGGATCCAGCTTTTCCCAGCTCAGACCCCAGTGTCCTTAGCAACCAACCAGACTGTGCCCAGAAGATTGGCCCACGACATTCCAGAAAATAACCTGGGAACAAGAACAGGCTTAGGCTAAAGAAGAAGGCTGGGAATTTAGACTGTATCTCTGTAATGGGCCACCTGAGTCAAAAGGATTCAGAGTGATTTCATTGGCTGAACGAGGCACACGGGAATGTTGCAATTTAAATTCAGAGGACTAGTGTCTTCATTTTAAAAAGGATGAGGGGGCCTGAGAAATGACTGAGCAAGTCAAAGTCTGATGATCTGACTCTGGGACCCATTTGTAGAAGGGCAGACCCCACCTCCATGTGTATGCGTGCACACAAAATAAACATTTAAGAAGGAAATGTGAGGGGAGAACGAGCTGACAGGAAAGACAAGTTTAGTCATGGGTGCCATCCACAGTCTTAGTTTGGGTAAATACATGGTTGTTTCTTGGGCTCAGTAGAGAGTTGTGGACTGAAAAGGATTTGGGATCCTTTAGAGCTGTAGTTGACACTGTGGGGGGCTTGAGAGGGTTAAGAACAACTGGTGAATGTCAACCCCCCCCCCCCCCCCCCCGGCATGAGAACAAGACAATTAGGCCAAGGTTGTGAGGACTGGGGAGAAAATGGGTAGTAATGGCCGGTGCTTAGCAGTGGTCACTGGAAAAATGCCCTTTGGACTTGGTACCAGGAAAACCATTGGTGACCGGGGAGCCAAATTGGTCCAGTGAAATTGCAGGAATATGATTCAGCAGGTTAGTGAAGGAATGGAGGCCTGAGGAAGAAGACAGTAAGTGAGGCCATCCCTCCAGGATGTGGCTCTGAAGGGAAAAGACTGAGAGATTATTACAAATCCAGAGGGGACAGTTTTTTGGTTTTTTTTTTTTTTTGTTTTGTTTTGTTTTTTTTGTTTTTTTTTTTTTTTTAACAGTAGAAACAGGAAGAAGCAAGAGTTGAAGCAGATAGAGGTAAGTTTAAAGGTGTGCAGACTTGTGCTGCAAGGTCAGAAAACAAAGTGAAACTAGCAGTGTCTGTATTAATACAGAGAGCCAGCAATCAAGTTCAGTTAGCTCTTGGATTTGTAAAAAGTTGTGTGTGTGTGTGTGTGTGTGTGTGTGTGTGTGTGTGTGTGTAAAGAGAAAGAGATTTGACTACATACTGGATATTAGGTAATGTTAGAGAATTAGTAATTTTAGTGGTAATAGTAATGAAGCATGCTCATTGTTACAGAGGAGATTCTTATGGGATGGTGGAATATTTAGGGTGAAATATTTAATAATGTGTCACACTTAATTTCAAATGATTCTGATGAAAACAGAAACAGGGTGTGGACCGGTGTTGACAACAGACGGGTGGGTCTAAGCGTTGTGCAAATATTCATTGTTCTTTCTGTTTTCCAAAAGTTAGAAATCTTTCAAAATAAAAGGTCTGGGGAAAATATGGAATTGAAGGTGCATCCATGGGGTAGCTGTTTTCTCTCAAGTTAGGAAGGGGTAAATCTAGAGTGTAGAAGTGCTAAAAATAACAGGAGAAAACTAACAGACAGAGATGCATAGAAAGAGGGCCATAGATACCATGATAGAATGCAGAAAAGTAAAGTTTCCTTGATTGTAACTTTTTTGTAGTGTTAAACTAGTTTTCTTTCTCTCCTCACCCTTTTTTTTTTTTTTTTTTTTTTTTTGAGACAAGGTCTCTTTGTGTGGCTCTGGCTGTCTTGGAACTCTCTTTGTAACCTATGCTAGCTTTGAACACCCCCTGCCTGATCACAAGCGACCATGCCTGGCATGTTAAACTACTGAGTATATTCAACATACAGAAAACTGTGTATTTTTAAGATGTGCAGCCTGGTGGGGCTGGAGAGAAGTAGACACTGAAATTGGCACATAGCTGTTGCCTGTTCATCATCTCAGAAAGTTCCCCCTTGCCTCATTATATGCAAGATATATCTTAGCATTTTAAAAAACACTTTATTTTCAAAGATTTAATTACTTAGTGAATTGTGTGAGTACAGGTACACACATGCCATTGAACACCTGTGAAGGTCAGAAGATGGCTTAGGAGTAAGGCAGCCACTATGCAGAGCAAGCTAGCCCCTGCCTCCCTCCCATCTGCCCACAGTAGGGCTGGGACTGCAGTCCCCACAGGAGTGCCTATCACTGTACTGTATCTGGCATTTTCCCCCCCTGTGGGTTCCAGAAATTCATCTTGGATCTTCAGAGTTGCATAGCCTTCAGAGTTATCTCCCCCACCCCATTATTTTGATTTTGTTTCTGGCTTGAGGGTTAAACCTAGGACCTTCTGTGTGCTAGGCAAGTGCTCAATCATTGTGTTGTGTTCAAAGTCCCTTTAAGTCTAGTTTTAGTATAGAATGTAATATTTACTCTAGGCACTCTGCCGTATGGTAGATGTCTGTAATTTATTTTTCTTTTATAAGTAAAACCTTAGCACATTTGTGTGTGTATAATGTATTTATGTGAATGTACACCTGCTATGGAGCAAATGTGGAGGTTAGAGGATGGCCTGCAGGGGTTGACATTCTCTTTCCACCATGTGGATCCTGGCACTCAAACTTGGATTATCAGGGTTGGCAGCAAGCCACTTTACCAACTGAGCCATCTTGGTAGCCTCCTAAAACTTTCTAATCTTTGATTCATTTTTCTTGGCTTTCCCTAGCTCCTACAGTTGCTATTTCATGTCTTGTTCATATTAGTTATATAGTGGTACCATATAATAGCCTGTTTGACTTCACTGAGCATTTCCTTTTAAGACTAACTAATTCCCATTGTATTTATATCTACCTTTTCTTTACCTAATGTAAATCAACTCCACTAACCTGTGAGTGGACTTGGGTTTCTTCTGTCTGGGCTATTGTAAAGAGTGCTGCAGTGACCTTGGGGGTGCACATATCTCCTCTAAAACCACACTTCACTTACTTTGAATATCTCTCCACTTGTATGATTGCTGGATGGTAAAAGCTATTAACTTTTGTGCTTACCAACAGTGAAAATTTACAGTGTTGTATATTTTAAGTACTTACAGTTTTAAATTATGACTGTTTTGTACCATAGAAAGCATTTTAAAGTTTTACCAGTTATTTCCCCTTTAATATGTTCAGTTTTTTCTTGGTAGTCTTTGTTTCTGTTTTTATTTATTTATTTTGAGGCAAGATCTCTCTGTGTAGTCTTGGCCATTCTGGAACTCACTACGTAGACTAGGCTGGCATTGAACTCACAGAGATCCATATGTCTCTGCCTCCCAAAATCATTCACCACCACATCTGGCTTTTGGTAGTTTTTAATTGCAATCTAAAGGATGCATTGTTTTCTTTAGCAGAATGTGTCTTCAGTTGTGAGAACCTTGGGATGACGCTGAATAGAATGTATTCATGAAGAGTGTACAGCACACCCCACAGCTAACTAGGGAACCCAACAGAAGTTTCTCTGGATATTGTTCTCATTTTTAGCAGCTGGGATGTATGCTTTGTAACCAAAGTATCATTGGATCAGTGTTGTATCTTAGATTTGCTGAGCAGCCACAGCTGTTCATGTCAGTGTCCAGGACATGTCATGTTCCTGGACACACTAGTGCAAAAGTGACAATTACATTTATTCTGCTCTTAGCCTCTTTTGCTTTCCTCAAACATGGTTGACTTTTATATAAAATTTACTTATTTATTTGTGTGTGTGTGTTTTCGTGTATACCTTATGCATGTAGTACCTGCAGGGGTCAGAAGAGGGTATTAAGTTCCCTAGAATTTGAGTTAGAGGTGGTTGTGAGCCATGCTGTGGATGCTGGGAAACAAACCCAGGTCCAGTCCTCTGTGAGAGCATCAAGTATTCTGAATTGCTGAGTCATTTCTCCAGCCCGTTTGTTTTGAATCAGGATCTTACATAGCCCAAGATGGCCCTAAACTCGATTTATAGCTGAGAATGGCCATGTTCAGTTCTTCCATGAACTTTGCTGACAAGTTCTGTCCAGCGGCTCCATGAGCCACGATCCTATGCTGTTTCCCCAGGGACTGAGGCCCAGATGCACTTGTGGGGGAACATCTCATCAAAGCTTGCTTCTGTTCTTGAAGTCCCCCTCCCCAGCAAACCAGCACCCTGGCTTACCTCTGAGCCAGGCTCAGCTCTTTTTTTCTTTAAGAAGGACCATTCTTGATTGTGGAGAATTGTCTGGGCCCTGTGTGACCTGGTCCTGACCCACTAGATGCCAGTAAAACTCTTCAGACATCAACAAATGCCCCCCAAGAACAGACTCACTCGTGGTTGAGAGCCAGTGTCCTGCAGGAGTGGTCCTTTGTTACTGTGGTTCATCTTGCAGTGCTGGGCATCAAGGCTGGCTCTTCTGCTGAGCTGACTCCTGGCCCAGAGTGTACCTGTAACGATCAGCAGGGAACAAAGAGGCTTGAAAGCCTCCCAGCGCTTACTCCCAGTGCTCATAGAAACTCAGTATAGTAGCCTAGAGTATCTGTGGCTGTAGTACCTTCAGTCAGCAGTGTACATTTTCAGTGTGCCCTTCTGAGTATCGTGCTGAGCTCTCACACCAGCCTGCCTGAGGCAGAGTCATCACTTGTCAGTGTTCCCATAACTGTGCCTGCCACCTGCTTGGTAGTAACTAGCAGTGTCTTGTCCCAAGGGTAACATCTGATGCCTGTGTTCTTTACCTCACGTGATTTGTGTAGGCATTTAGCCCATCACAGCATCATAAGAAGGGTAAGTACAAGATGTTTTAAGAGTGAGACTAAATTCATGTGACTGTTTATTAGTGTGATCATTGTTCTATTTCATCATTAGTTATTGTTGTTATTTTACTGCTTAACTGGTAAATTAAACTTCCTCATAAGTATGTATGAGGAAAACCTGGTGTGTCTAACAGTACAATGTGGTTCCAGGCTTATACTGGGGGTCTGAAAACATCTTCCGCATCGCTAACGGAGGACGACAGTACGTCAAGGGTGGGACAGAGGCCCTGGTTTCCTAACTCCCTTGGTGACCCTGCCTGTGCCCTTACAGGGTTAAACCACTGTTACAGAGTCAAGTTCATTCTTCCGAACTTCCCTCCGAGACAAAGTTCCTTTCTGCCAGACTGGACCCTCTTTCTGGAGGTAAATGGATTGTCTGTCATCAAGCCTCAGCCAATTCACCCATTCTTCTCATGCTCAGTGCTTAGCCATGACTTTGTGTTTCATGTGTTTAAATGGGCAAGATCATTGTTGTTGTTGCCTAATTAACATTACATCCAATTACTAACATTCTTTCTGTATGATAATTTTTCAAGTCTCCAGTTTAAATAGAAAACTGCTGTTTCTGGGATTAGTAGTCACAAAAGGATCATATGGTATTAGCATTTTTCCCCCCTTTGAATGTGTGCTGGGAATCGAGCCCAGAGCCTTGTTCTTGCCACCGCTGCTCTGAACACATATGCATGATACACACACACACACACACACACACACACACACACACACACATACCACCACCACCACCAAGCCCAGAGCCTTGTTCTTGCCACCGCTGCTCTGAACACATGTGCATGATACACACACACACACACACACACACACCACCACCACCACCACCACCACCACCACCACCACCACCACCCTCACCTTTTCCCTGCAGCAGTCACTGGAGTGTTGTGGTATACCATGGCTGTCTTTCCTTCACAGCACTCATTTCTTTTGTGCCCAGTAATTCTCCATAAAACTCACAATAGGGTTTTTATGATTTTATGATTACAGAATCATTACAGCGATCACCTAACTTATTGTTCTTTGGAAATGTCTTTTTATTTGTTTGTTTGGGGGGGGGGTAATGTATTCCAGACTGGCCTTAAACTTGCTTTGTAGCCAGAATACCTTGAACTTGTGACTCTCTTGCCTGTACCTCTTATGTGCTGTTACAGTACTGAAACCCAAGGCTTTGTGCGTAGTGAGCAGGTGCTCTGCCCACTGAGTCCATCACAGCTTCCCAACCCTCCCACTTGTGCTTGGATCACAAAGGTTTGTGCCACCAACACCGGGCTTGGAAACACTAATCTCCTTTTGTTTGGTTTGTCCTTGGGGTGGCACTTGGTGCTTTATAGTCCCTCCTGATTGCTCATCAAGAGTGGCTTTATGGAAGGAGTGAGGTCCAGATGAAGCTTAGGTTCAGCTGACTGGTTTCAGATACATCTTTTCTTCACCCAGAAGTTAAAGCGTTGAGCTGGGTAACTTGTAATGATTGTTCTATTCTGCACATACTAACAAGTAGTTTGTAACTGGGGACACTTGTGGTAAGAGAATCCTATTGGAGGGCTGGGCATGGCAGTAGATATTTTTAAAAGATCTTTATTTTAAAAATACTTCATTTTTTAGTGTGTATGGGTATTTTGCCTGCATGTGTGTCTGTGTCCTGTATGCTTACAATGTCCTCAAAGGCCAGACAGAGCATCAGATCTCCTACAACAGGAGCTACCGATAGTTTTGAGCCACCGTGGATGTTTTGAATCAAACCCAGGTCAACTGAAGGAGAAGCCAGTACTTTTAACCACCAAGCCATCACTTCAGCCCTGATACATGCCTTTGATCTCAGGCAGAGGCAGGAGGATCTCTGAGAGTTCTAGGCCTGCCAGCACTGCATAAGGCAGCCTAGACATGCTGTGAACTAAGGATGAACTCCCTGTCCTCCTACTTCTACCTTACAGACGTGTGTCACCATGCCCACGTTTACTCAGTGCTAAGGATTGAACCTAGGGCCTCATGGATGCTAGGCAAGCACTCTGCCAACTAAGCCACATCCCCAGACCTACAGACTTCTAAAAGAATCCCTTTATCATTTGTTTTGCCGATACTCAGCCAGTTTATCATTCTTTTTGTCACCAAGTATATGCAAGTATTTATTATAAGCACCAGACATTGAACTCTGGTGGGATATGTACTGAGTCCTGCCCTCATAGACTTCAGAAGCCAGTATCTGAGCAATAAGAAATAGAACACAGTGTAGGATAATAAATACCACAGTAGGGGTAAGTTCAAATCCATAAACATACACTAGCTAGCCCTTTATTAAGATAGTTTGTATGCCACCAAGTTCACCCACTTGAAAAAGCATAGTTTATGCTCACAGTTTATATGATTGACACTGATGGTTAAGGTGAGGACATTTTTGTTACCCTGGAGAAAGGGCCCCTAACCACTGCCATTCACTCCTGTTCTCTCCACTCTTTTCCTCTAGGCAAGCATTAGTCTCCTTTTTATATTGTAGACTTGCCTGCTCTTGGGACCTTTGTGATAGTCTTCCCCTAATCACAGTGTTGGCAAGGCTGGGTCACATAGCTTGTATTAGGACACAATCATGTTTTATTTTCCTGTGATATTGCATAAGTGGATATGTTACATATTTTTCCTGAGTTCATTGCTTCTTTGGATTGCTTCTGTTTTAGGACTGTTATAAATAATACCATTGCTAACATTTGTCTTCCAGTATTTGTATAGACATATGTTTTGAGTTCTTTTGGGTACATATTTATGAGTAGAATTATTGTATGACATGTTAACTCGTAGTCTAACTTTAAAACTGACAGCTGTTTCTCCACAGTGTACTATTTTACATCCCCATTAGTAGTTTACTGACTTTTTTTTTCAGCTCTTATTCCACACAATTCATTCCCCAAATGATTCTAACTTCAAAACTTACTGACATGGTACATGTGTATTCCTTTAAAAGCAAATAAACAACAAAAACAGGATTTCTCTCTATAGCCCAGGCTGGTCTGGAATTTGATGTGTAATCAAGCCCAGGTTGACCTTGAAATCTTAATCCTCCTGCCTCAGCATTCCATGTACTAAGAGTGAAAACACTCAGTGGTAGAGTGCTTTCCTAGCATACATGAGGCTTTGGTTTCAGCCTCCAGCCTTGCATCTCACATACACTCACACATACTGTCTTCAAGCAGTGGTAGTAGATCAACAGGATATCCATTATAAGAAAATGAAGTTGGATCCTTCTTTATATCACACATAAATAAATTTCAGAAAACTAAATGTATAAGCTAAAATTATAAAACTCTTAGAGCCAGGCAATGGTGCCACACGCCTTTAATCCCAGCATTCCAGAGGCTGAGGCAGGTGGATCTTTGTGAGTTTGAGGCCAGCCTGGTCTACAGAGCTAGTTACAGAACAGCCAAGGCTATACAAAGAAACCCTGTCTCAAAACAAAAACAAAAGAATAATAATAATAATAATAATAATAATAAAATCAAATAATAAAACTCTTAGAAGAAAACAAAGAGAAGCATTTGTATGGCTGGAGAGATGACTCAGTGGTTAAGTGCACTAGCTTCTCTTCTAGAGGACGTGGGTTCCATTCCCAGCAACCACGTGGTGACTCCAGACTAACCAGGGGATCTGATACCATCTTCTGGCCTCCAAGTGTACCATACACATATAGGGTAGGCAGCCATATACCCATTTACATAAAATAACCTTTAAAAGAAAAACCCTCTGAGATCAAATGAGGCTCTGGTTTCCTACATATGATAAGAAGCACAAGTTGCAGAGGAAGAGGTTGATTTCTGCAGTTTGAAGCTGTGCTGCAAAGCTGCCATCAAGAGAGTGGAGTTGCAGTGGAAGGCCGCTCTTATAGAGAATCCAAGTTCAGTTTCCAGCACCCAGTTAGAGCAGTGCTAAATTTTTGCTCTCTACAGTCACCTGCACACGTGTGCACATAGCTGCACTCATACACACATGCATAGCTTAAAGAGAGAAAAGGTACAAAAAAGAAGTCAAATAGATCCTGGTAGGTGTGGTGGTGCACACCAAATCAAGGCCTTTGCCATGCATTGTTTGAGTCCAGGCTGGGCTACATGAGACCTTTTTCCTTAATAAATAAGTAAACAAACAAACAAACAAAAAATGGAGCTGAGCTGAGTGTAGGTGGTGCATACCTTTAGTCCCAGCACTCAGGAGGCAGAGGCAGAGGCAGGCAGATCTCTATGAATTCAAGGCCAGCCTGGTCTACAGAGCAAGTTCCAGGGCAGACTCTAAAGCAATATAGAGAAACCCTGTCTTGAAACAACAACAACAAAGAAATGGAGCAGCGCCTTTGGTTCAGCCCCAGTACTGCCAGCAGGATGAAGGTGAGCTTAGATGTCTGAGGGGAATGTTGGCAATGTCTGATAAGGGCCTGCTGTCCAGAACAGGGCACACTGGGAATGCTTACAGACTAATAATGAGACAGCCCAATAGAAGTGTGCATAGGACAGCCCTTCCTGCAGAAGGGGGATCTTAGGACAGTGATTCCCACAGAAAAGGACTCTAAATGGCCTATAAGCACCTGAGAAGATGCTGAGCATCACCAGCCTTCAGAGAAATATAGAAGATCAAAACCATAGTGAGCCTCCACTTTCCACTCCCTGGGGTGTCTGTGTTCCAAAGTCAGAAGTGGTGAGGAGTAGAGCTTCCTGAACTTACCCTGGGCTCCTGTCTGCTGGGGTAGCATGAGCATAGCAGCCCACAAGAGGGGCCAGGTAGAGCAACCCAGGAAAATCTCTCTAGGTAATTCTGGTGTGCAGGCTGTGTTGAGAGCAGTGGACCAAGTGTGTAGACAGAAAGGAGACCAAACAGAAGGTGCCCATGAGAGGCAGGAGGCACATTTCAGGAAGAGGAGCTGCACTCGTGTATGCCCTGAGCGGTGACAGTCCAGCCACTCCTTCCCTGAGAGCTGCTTGACTGTTGGCCTATCCTACAGGTGCAGCACCTTCTTACTGAAGACTCCACAGGCTCCGGGTCAGAGCTTCTCAAGGCTAAAAGCCTTGAGAACTGAAGTAGGCAAATAAGAGAACCTCTGCTTTTAAGGGGGGGGGGATCCTATATGAAAAAATAGCAAATAGTATTTAATTAAAAAAAATTTTTTTGAGTCTGGGTCTAACTATGGCCCAGAACTCTCTGGATCAGGCTGGCTTGGAACTCACACAGATCCACTTGGTGCTCCCTTCTGAGTGCTGGTATTAAAGGCCTGCATGACCACTCACAGCCCAGTTAAATGACATTTTAAGACTCATGCATAACTAGATGCAGTGGCCTGTTTGAGACTATAATCTCAGCATTGGAGAGACTTGAGTCAAGAATATCACTCATGCCAGAGAACTCTTAACACCCTGAGCAACATAGTAAGATGTGGTCTTAAAACAGAAAACAGAAATCTGAAAAGTGTTGCATGTGCAACAGTTTGACATTGTCTTTGTATGTTCATTGTGTTTGTGGTTTGGGAGTAAAAGCACAAAATCTGTTGCCTCAGATGGTCAAGAAACATTGCTGAAAGGAAGTAGCCTAAGCAGGAAGAATTTTAAAGAAACAGTCATTTGCCTGGTGACGCACATTTTTAATCCCAACACTGGGGAAGCAGAGGCAGGCAGATCTCTATGAGTTTGAGGCTTGACTGGTCTACAGAGTGATTTCCAGGATACTCAGAGGAAACCTGTCTTTAAAAAACAAAACAAAACAAAAAAAAAAGGAAGGAAGACAAACTCATTTTCCTTTGTTCTCTCAGGGATTTCGCTTTGGAAGACATGGATCTCGCTGCTAATGAGATCAGCATCTATGACAAGCTTTCAGAGACTGTCGATTTGGTGAGACAGACAGGCCATCAGTGTGGAATGTCAGAAAAAGCAATCGAAAAATTTATCAGACAGCTACTGGAAAAGAATGAACCTCAAAGGGGACCACCCCAGTACCCTCTCCTCTTAGCTACATATAAGGTGAAGTGTTGCTTGGTGGGCCTATCTCAAGTGCTAGCCTTTTCTGGCATAAACAAGCCACTGTTCTTCTGTCTGTTACTAGGAAGTGGAACTGTGGTTTGGCTGGAATTTGTGAAAGCTGTGTGTGTGTGTAGTGGATGTAGCCCCTGGTCATGGGATGAAAGCTTGGGGAGTCTTCACAGGCTACACATAGCTCTTGAGCTTTAAATGCTCTTGGAGGTGCAAGCAAATGGCTCATTTATGAGAGCAGACAAGTTCTAGTACACTGGACATAGCAGAAGAGGCTTGTTTTTCTCCTCAGTATTAAGGAACTTTCTTGTTGGGGCAATTCTTAATGTCACTCTTGTCTTTCCTTCTAGGTCCTCCTAACTCTGGGATTAATCTTATTCACTGCCTACTTTGTAATTCAGCCTTTTAGCTCCTTAGCACCTGAGCCAGTGCTTTCGGGAGCTCACACTTGGCGCTCACTCATCCATCACATTCGGCTGATGTCCTTGCCCATTACCAAGAAGTATATGCCAGAGAATAAGGGCGTTCCTCTGCAAGGAGGAGAGGAAGACAAACCTTCCCCAGGTAGAAGGCTACACTTGCTGCTTAGGAGATGGGTGTTCTTTTTGTTTGATTTGTTTTGTTTGAGATAGTCTCACATTACTGAGCCTGCCCTACACAACTTGATTTGTGTCTCTGCCTTCAGTGGATAGCTCTAACCAGGTCCTCACCCGCTGTTACCCTATTGGGCTGTTTGTCACTCTCACCTTGCTCTTCCTCACTACCACAGTCAATCACTACATTAATGTCATGCTCCAGAGTGTGGCAACTTTGCTAGCACAGTGAGTTCAAGAGACGCTTTAACAATGATGCAGCGGCAGGGATTCCCTGTCTTGTAGACTAGGGAGGAGCCTCTGTTTGAAAATAGTGTGGAATGAGATCACCTCAGACCTACTTTTTAAGAAAGAATAGAAGGATGTTTGTTGCTCAGGAAAATTCTGGAAACTGAATCCTATCTTCTCCCTTCTCTTTTTCCTCCTCCATGCTGAAGATAAACCTATGGCTTTGGACAGTCTAGGTTAGGTTTGGACAGTCTGAGCTATACTCCCAACTCCCCTTAAAATTTTGAAAAACAGTAATTTATTAGTATTGTGTGTATCGTGTGTGTGTGTGTGTGTGTGTGTGTGTGTGTGTGTGTGTGTAGGCACATGTGTGCCACAGCCCTCAGAATTATGGAGGGCAGATGACAGCTTTCAGGAGTTGGTTCTCTCCTTTTGACTGGGTTCAGAGGATTGAACTTGAGGTGTCTGGCTTACCTGACAAGCACTTGTACCCACTGATCCATCTTGCCAACCTGCCCAAGCCTTGGTTTTTGTTTTTGTTTGTTTGGGGGGATGAGAAAGGGTTTCTCTGTGTAACAGCTCTGGCTGTCCTAGAATTCACTCTGTAGACCAGGTTGGCCACAGAGATTGTCCTGCCTCTGCCTCTCAAGTGCTGGGATCAAAGGCATGCACCACTACCAGTGAGCTTTTCATTTGTTTTTTGTTTGTTTGTTTGTTTGTTTGTTTTTTGTTTTTGTTTTGTGTGTGTGTGGTTCTAATCTCTATTTGTCCACTTTTTTTTTTTTTTTTTTTTGATAACTTTCTTCTGAAACCTTTAGAATCCAGGATAATGTTTTGGGGGGAAGAGAAACTTTACTGGTTTAAGCTGACTTTTATAAAATCGTAATGTCACTCGTTAAAGCCTATCAGTCATAAAAATCACTTTTAGACTAGTTGCCTTTGAAAGCTGTCTGTACATTTGAGGAAGTCAGGAAAAAGATTTCCCAAATTATATCAAAACCAGAGGAAGAGAACATGCATGATAAGAACTCTATTCCATGGGGACATGGAATGGGAGCATGTATTTATTTATTTATTTTGGTTTTTCCAGACAGGGTTTCTCTGTAGTTTTGGAACCTGTCCTGGAATTAGCTCTTGTAGACCAGGTTCTCTCTGTATAACAGTTCTGGCTGTCCTAGAACTCACTCTGTAGAGCAGGCTGGCTTCAAACTCGAAGAGATCTGCCTGCCTCTGCCTCCCAAGTGCTGGGATTAAAGGCTTGGGCCACCAACACCCAGCTTGTGGGGACATATTTTTAAACTGACTGAAAATGCCATGTTTATTTATTGCCATACAGTTGAATACCAAACTTCTGGTACCACAGTTAATAATTCTACTTGAAAATTTATGGACAACATATGCAAATTGACATTTTCTCCCACAGATTGCTGACATATAAGAACTTGGGTGTTACTGAGAACATTCACATTAAAGATACTTGTAGCTGCTGCACAAGATGGAGCCAGCATCATTCCATCTAAATGAAGAGGGGCTCATGAACCCCCCCCCCAAGATGAGGCGCTATGACACTTAATTGTTGCTGGTGGGAAAGCATTTTCTTCAGTGGGGTAACCACTGGTATCCATGCTCCAGTGTGCAACCTGAATTAAACTCAGTGAACAGTTTCCAGTCAAAACACACATTTACACTGTGAAAACCTGGGCTGGTCCTTATGTGAGGAAGCTGGATCTCTACTTACAAGTAAGGAAGGAGGACATGGATGCAGTGTCATTGAGGAGTTAGGGAAATAGCAGGCCCTTCATTGCTTCAGAAGCAAGAAACGAATAAGGCTTAGAGTCTCACCATACAGCCCAGCTGTGAAATACTTGGATCAGTGGTGCTAGAGATTGAGCGAGGGACCCTGTTGGTGCTCAGTGAGTTCATTGAGCTGCCTCAGTCCTGCCTTCCTCTTTTTCTTACAAATGAGCTCATCTGTGGTGAGTGCTCTGACAAATACCTGCTGGGTACTGGGCACTGGGCGTGGACTTCGTGCTCACTTCTCAGTCTGCACAGGCTCACACAGGTGTTCGTGCCCACCTCAGAATGAGGAAAGTACTGTGATAGGGACTGGCTAGCTTGCCTGAAGCTGGAGAGTAATGTCCCCCTGTGAGAATTCACGAGGACAAGGGCATTATTAGAGTGCAGTGCTCCAGAAGTAATGTGATTGGCCAAAGGGTGTCGTATCCATTCCCACTTTGTGAAAATGGCTCTGGGCATGCTGCCTCTGATGCAGGGCACCTTTCAAAGGCCACCTTCATGGACAGGCTTCAGTCCAGCACATGCTCAGGGTGCTGCAAGGGGCTCTATGCAACAGGAACCTGCCAGAGTCTGACTAAATACTGAGCACAGGGCCATGGGCATGAAGAGCCTTTGTCAGGGCTCTTTCTGCAGGCTCTTCTGAGCATTGCTAGAATACAAAGTCTGTGGGTCCCATGAGGAGGCATCACGGGGCTGTTCTTGTCATCATTCTTCTGAGGTTTCTGTCTGTCTGTACCTCATTTGATGTTCTTCCCCAGGTAAACGTTCTGAGAAGTCAGAGTTACCCACACACACACACTATTCACTGCACTGAGTCCCATAGACAGGCCCCACAGCCTCTGCCTGCAGACCAAGAGCTCCTGCTTTTGTTCTCTCCAGTGCCTTTTTTACCCAGAATGGGATTTAGTCTTGCTCTCTGCCAGGTTAATAATATGTGTAAAAGGCCTTCCCTACTGAGAATTCTAGTCTGTGCCATAGGCAGTCGCATGAAGCCACCCTGAGTCAGTTTTCTTTGTAAACAACAAGGCCTCCTGATGGTAAGTCAGCCCACCCACTCTTCTGCAGGGTGCCAGTCTGTGAGAAAGGGTGGTAGAGTAGGGTTTCTGCACACACACTTCAAGGCTGTGTTTGGTCTGAGACTGATTTTTGACACATGGAACAGTGGAATGATCTAGACCCTGGGGAGAACTTGGAATACAGGTCATGAGCTTTATTGAGCACATTTCTAGTGTAAAAACCCAAGTAGGAGATGAAGACATCCTGAGGGTGGGCACATGTCATCTTTATTTTGAGGTTGGGTGCTCTGCAGAAAGTAGGTGGGCTAAGGTCTGTGACTGTACCTGAGAGTTGGCTCCAAGGTGTTCCCTTCTCAGTCACACTTGGTTTTGTTTTCTAAGATAACTATTCATTAGAGGAGGGTATCTGGAGTAAAGAGTCCTGGTAATTAGGGAAAGATGGGCAGTCTCTGAGTGCCTGCCATCCCAGATGGCCTTTCTCTTACTGCTGCAGACAAAGTGGATGGGAACAGAGTCTGGGAGAATGGAAAGTGGTATTATAGGAACTGAAGGACGGTTCTGAGCCAGGGTGGCCTGGTGCCCTGGCTGTTGCTGCTACTGCTGCTGCTGCTAATGCTAGTGTTTTCCCCCTGACATGCTAACTCCTGCCCTGATACAGAGAACACATCAGACAAAACCTGTGTGGAAAGGTGGAGGGCCAGCTAGAGTCTGTCCACATACATCTCCATGCTATTGGGATTCTGTGGGGTGATGCCCCATCACCACCATAATCTATGACCGATCGATCATTCCTTCTCAGTGATCTAGGGCTGTATAGAAAGTAAATGTAGCTCTCCCTTGTGACATTTAGGCAAGCTGTGTTACCTCATCCTCATGGTCCTTCTCCCTCATCATTCTCCTCGCTTTGTTAGCCACCAGTCTGGCATCTGCCCTGCTTGTCAGGGGCTGCTTAAGGCTGCCTTAGGAAAGACTTAGTCCCCATTGATAATTCTGGCTTAAGTGTTCCTGATCTTCAAAGACTTTGACTGAAAGATACCTAATGTGTATAAAGTCCATAAAGAGACAGAGTTTGTGTTTAAGAAAAGGGCTCTGGGCTGGCAAACCAGCTCAGAGGGTAGAGATGCTTGACTTGCCACCCTGTCAGAACCATATAAGGTGGAAGGAAAGAACTGATTCCATAGAGTTGCCCTCTGTGTGTACCCTGTGGCAGACATGTCCACATGTGGATTGTGTACACACATGGATCATGCATACACACATAAGAAATAATAAGAAATAAACTTAAAATATTCTTATACATGATCTTAACCAAAAGTCTGAGAAGCAATTAAAACATTGTTCTTTTTCCTTCCCGGCCTCCCTCCCTCCTTTTCTTTTTTGAGATGGGCTCTCTTTGTATCTTTGGTTGACCTGAAATTCACTGTGTAGACCAGGCTGGTCTTGAATCACCTGCCTCTGCCTCCCAAGTGCTGGGATTAAAGGTGTGCACCACCACTGCCCAGCTCCCTTCATGATAGTCTTACCTTAGCCTCCTAAGTGCTGGGGTTACCACAAGCATGTACCACCACACTTGTCCTAAAAACCACTTTTATTTTTTTTTACACAAATATATACATATATATGATCTTTCATTGGTCATGTGTACATAAAAAACTTTATGTATACAATACTAGACACACTATTGGGTTCTAATGCTACCAAAACAAAGAATGGCAGCCTGGATGGCTCAAAACAACAGAAAGTCTGGAAATTCCAGGAGCTAGGATTCTGAAATGAGATTTTGGTAGGGACAGTGCTTTTTCAGAGCCCTTGCTTGGCACTCCTTCCAGCTGCTGCTGGTTGGTGGCAGCTTGGACTCTCCTTGCTTGTGGCTCCATTCACTGTCTGCCTCCTTCTTCACATGCTGTCTTCTCTCTTGTTTTTCTGTGTCTCCTCCTCCTGTAAGGGCATCATTCAGATTGGATGCAAGGCCCACTCTACATTAGTATGATCCCATCGTAACGATATCTGCAAAGATACAGCTTCCAAATCCAGGGGGACAGCGGTGGGGTTCAACCCAGTCTATATACTTTTGAGGGATTTTATGTTTTGTACAATCATATAGTTTATCTAGTTTCCATGTTTTGTTTTGCCACTACAATGTGGGGTGTTCATATACGTGTATCCTTTATGTCATATGCTATTATTTCTGTACTGTATAATCTTGGAGCCAGACATAACGATAAGCCCAGCACTTGGGAAGCTGAGGCAGAAGTTTTATAGCTCAAGGCACAGCTTTCTTGTACTTTGGAAAACTAGACAACAAACACTTCTGGATCACACATAAGGAGCTTTTAAAAAATAATCATAGTAAAAAACTTAAGTTTCTGAGCAATTTTGAATTCAAAGTAAAATTAAGTAGGGAAAACACATGGAGTTCTCACACTGCCTCTGCCCTCACATGCACTGCCCCCCTGGGGATCCACAGTGTCACCTCCACAGGGATTCACTGCTCAGGCCCAGAGGAGCTGAAGTACCAGAAGACAAGCAGCTCTGTCCCTGCTGCTTGACATCCTCATGCATGGCTAGTCTTCCATCAGGATCAAGGCACGCTTAGCTGTCACTCATTCTTCTTCTATATAGATGCTTTAGTGTGGCCCCTTTGGAAAGTCCTGCTTATTCTTATGGTCAGGTTAGTTTTCCCACTTCAGCTAGTTTCATGGCTAGAAGAGTAAGCAAACTGTTGGCTTGGTTTTTTGTTTTTGTTTTTTTAAATGAGATGAACTTTTCCTGTGTGACCTTGACTAGCCTCAAAAAAAAAAAAAAAAAAAAAAATCCTCCTGCCTCAGTCTCCCAAGAAGCTGGGATTGCAGCTGTGTGTCATCACACCTGGTGAGGAAGCTAATGACTTACATGTTGAGGTAATGCCTCCTCCTGTCCTGATCCCCTGTGTCAAACCCTGGTTAGTGCTGACATGAATTGCTTGGATTTAGGATCAGCATTGCCCAGCTTTTCTATTGGTTTCCAAGTCTCCTCATTTCCCTCCAGCGCTCACTTGTTAAGGCCTCCCCACCTGGACATCACCTCGCCATCAAATTTAACAAGTCACAGGCCTAGAGGTATAGCTCCATGGTAGAGTGGCTGCTTAGCAGATTCAACGTCTCAGGAGGTTCCTCCCCAGCACCCCCAAACCAAACACAACAAAAACCCCGGGTATAGTTAAAGGTTCAGAGCTGCTGCCACTCGCCCACCAGGCACCTGCACAGATTAGAAAAGTCCCCTTTGTGCTGACACACACCCCTACCTCTTGGGGAGGTCATCATAACTGAATCCAACAAAGTGGCATTACTGCCAAACAGGTCTGAGACTGATCTGCAGATCCCCCATGCTGGTGTTCCCTGGGAACGGTGACACCAGAAATGCCATGTTCCAGCAATGTCTTCCTCACAGCGCTTGCAGGCCACACCTTTTTCTTTTCAGACTGCCAAACCAGGATATAACCAGGCCTTTCTCTGGCCATCCTCTCCCAGTACATCCTAGGCACAGCCTAGAAAAATCTTCATACTACATCACAGAGCCAATGCTCAGAAGCCTCTGACAGTTCCTGTGGGAGGAGAGCTAGGTGGGTTTCAAGCCCTTGAAGCCCTCTTCACATTTGCTGCAGCTCTGCCTCCTTCCATCCCTGCTCGGTGTCTCTAGTGTTTTTCCATGTCCTCAGGTGCCTTGGGAACTTCCTCATGTACTAACTTGGTCTGACTGTGAGGGGAGAAAGGAAGCCTCACACAGAGCACTACATGGGTGACATGACAGCCCCTGAGACAGGTCTTGACTCCATGCATGAGCCTCTGTCCCAGCACTCATTTCTTGTTATTTATGCTTCCTTGTGTATCCATTACCTGGTGGGAATTCTTTTATTTTAACAAGAAATCATCATATTTGTCTTTGATAAAAAACATCTTAGCCGGGTGATGGTGCATGCCTTTAATCCCAGCACTCTGGAGGCAGACGAAGGCAGAGCTCTGATTTCGAGGTGAACTGGTCTACAGAGCAAGTTCCAGAACAGCTTCCAAAAGATACAGAGAAACCCTGTCTCAAAGAACCAAGAAAAACAAAACAAATCTTGGGCTGGAGAGGTGGCTCAGTGGTTTAGAACACTGCCTACTGGTCCAAGGGTCCTAAATTCAAATACCCAGCAAACACATGGGGGCTCACAACCATCTGTAATGAGATCTGGTGCCCTCTTCTGGCCTGCAGGGATACATGCACACAGAACACTGTATACATAATAAGTAAATAAATCTTAAAAAAAAAATAAATAAAAAATGAAGAAACATCTTGTTGGGTGGTGGTGGTGGCCCATGCCTTTAATCCCAGCGATAGAGGCAGGTGGATCTCTGAGTTTGAGGACAGCCTGGTCTACAGAGGACAGCCAGGGATGTTGTAGAATATTATTTTAAGGTGTATTACTTTTTGTTTTTTGCTCTGCAACATTTGTTTAATGACGCAAAGATGTGTTTGATTAAATAAACTTCATCTGTGGTCAGGAATCTGGATCAGCAACTAGCTGACAGAAAATTGTAGGGAGGAGCCAGGTGGAAGTTTATAAGGAGGTTTGAGGTGGGGAGCTAGGGGAGCTGCTTGCTGTTCAGACTCTCTGGGAAGCAGGATTTTGAATCTTGAGTTCTTTAGCAGGACAGAGATTTAAATAAGTTTTCTAATAGCTTTGAAAGATTTGGTACCTGGGGCAACAGAATTTGCTCAGGCTTTGTTCAACTCTTGCTGCCTAGCTGCTGCTAAATGGAGTGGCAGTTGCTGAATAGGATTGCAGTAGCTTAAAAGGCAGCAACAATTAAAAAAGAAAAACAACACGTGGATACACAGAGAAACCCTGTCTTGGAAAACCAAAAAAAGAAAAAGAAAGAAACTTGAAAATATTCTAGAAGGAAAGAAATGTCCAACTTGGCAGCCCCTTATATGTCACGTAAACAGGGGCCCTGGAGGGCCTACACAGGCCAGGCCCTCACAGGGAGGGTGCACTGTCAGCCTGAGAACCCTGGAAATAGAGATCTTTCCCAAGGGAAGCCAGGTGCTGTGTGTGGTGGGTGATGCAGGATGCAGGATGCCCAATGCAGTCCCTCAGGGTAAGCACCCCTGCACCATCACTGCCTTCAGAGAAAACCATGTGTGCTGCCTGTCTGTCTCAGGGAATGGTCTGTGGGAACAGTTTTCTTGTTTTGTTGTTTTCAGATAGGTTTTCTGTGTGTAGCTCAGGCTATTCCAGAACTCTGTAGACCAGGTAAGCCTCAAACTCAGAGATCCACCTGCCTCTGCCTCTTGAGTGCTGAAATTGAGGGCATGTGCCACCACAATAACTGAGAAACAGTTTCCCAAGTGCATGTATTGGCTTAAAAAAACTGCCTGCGTCTTGGCCACTTTTGCTGTCTGTTGTGTTTTGTTTGTTCAAGGATTTGTCAGAGCCATCTTTTGAAACATTTTGGAAACAAACAGTTTTTAGAGAACATAGAATGGCAAGTAAACAAGAAATGATGTAGCTGGGTGTTGGTGTTACACGCCTTTAATCCCAGCACTTGGAAGGCAGAGGCAGGTGGATCTCTGAGGCCAGCGTGGTCCACAGAGCTAGTTACAGGACAAGCTCTAAAGCAATGCAGAGAAACCCTGTCTTGAAAAACAAAACAAACAAACAAACAAAAAATAAATAATGCAATAAGTCAGAAGTGGGAAAAAAGATATTGTGGATACAGGACCCTCTCACAGAAACCAGGGAGAAGTGCCAGGCATCAAGCTGGGACTTAACATGGGTCTGGGTGAGACTCCTAGTCTGACTACACTGCACTCCTTGGGGCTGGAAGCAACAATTGATAGTTAGCATATTCCTTTCTGAGCTGAGGTGGAGCACTGTCTTATAGGCAGAGACAGTCCACCAAAATAGCCCGGGAAGTCTTTGTCCCTTCTGCCTGAGAGTGAGCCCTCACCTCCCTCTTCCTTCCCAAAGTCATCCTGGTCTCCACACAGGTATGCATAAGAGCCAGGGGTCTAGGGCTACACCAGAGTGTGTGCATGCACCTGTGTACTGCCTGCCCTGGGCTAGAGATGTTCACATATGCCGGGTTCAGGTTAGAGACAGGAGAACTGTGTGGCTGAATGCTTGTTGCAACTGTTACGCTCTACTGAGTGATTTGATTGAGGACATGTATGTACATGTTAAAAGATGCTTTCCACAAAGTCTAGAAAATCATATGAAGAAAACTGCCTCTCCTTCCCAGAACCCTACCCTCCAGACCTGCTAGCAAAGGTCTCCAGAGGGAAACAGGTACTTTCCTGTCTGCTTTTGTTCCTGGGCTGCTGGGCTCACCAGCTGTCCTTCTGCACCTGTCTGCCCTCTGTCTCTTCCTCTCTCAGACTTTGACCCCTGGTCATCAAGTGACTGTGAGCAGAACGAGTCAGAGCCCATCCCTGCCAACTGCACTGGCTGTGCCCAGATGTTGCCCCTCAAAGTAACGCTCCCAGAGGACACTCCGAAGAATTTTGAGAAACTCCGTCCTCTGGTGATCAAGGTAGGCAAGAAGCCAGGTTTTCCTATGAATGGCCTGCCCATAAAAGGCTGGATCAAGCCCTGCGAAGCTGTGGTAACTCACTGTGGCCTTCTTTGTCTTTCTGTGTCACCAAGACAGGACAGCCTCTGTTGTCTTCAGAGATTCAGCATTTCTCGTGCCAGTACCCTGAAGTCACAGAGGGCTTCACTGAGGGGTTTCTCACCAAATGGTGGCGCTGCTTTCCTGAGAGGTGGTTTCCATTTCCTTACCCATGGTGAGTCTGAAGGGTGCTTAGCTTGCATGTGAGGAAGGGACAGGGCAGGTGTCAAAGCAGTGAGAGCCAGAACCATATATGTGGTCAGTTCACAGCATACCTTCAAGTCAAGGGTAGAAAGGCCAAGTCATCCTGCCACACAGTGCAGGGAGGAAGGGAACAGGGTCTCTAAGGAAGGATGCTGCCATGCAGAAGCTTGGGCTCTTTTCTGTTGTGATAAAGCACTGTGATCAAAATGTTTCTTTGGTCTTGTATTACTAGAGGAATAAGAGTCCATCACCTGTACCCAGCAGACAGAATCTTTAAACTCTCAAAGTGACACCTCTAGCAAGGCCAAGCTCCTAACCCTCTCCAAACAGTACCAACACCTGAGGACTAAGTATTCAAATGCCTGAGGCTATGAGAGATGTTCTTATTCAAACCATCATGAGTATGATTGCGGCTGCTTAACATTTGCTCTAACAGAGAAGGGTCAGGAGGTTGAGGGCTGAAGAGAAAGCTTAGATAGAAGAGCTGTATCCATGGCCAAGGTACAAAGTGGGGAGTCTCAGCCAATTTGCGGGTAAGAATATTACATTCAGACAGGTTCAGTCAGTTGCCAAGCTCACTCATGATGGAATTCTGTTTGCTTTCCTGTTCCTTGTGTCCTACAAAAAATGTAGGTCATTAAGGCTAAGGCTCCCTCTGATTGAAAAAGGAAAAGCCAGTTTCCTTCCATGCAGAACTGGTTCAAAGGAAAATTAAAATTTCACTTTAGCGTTTTGTTGAATTACTATTTTTAAAATATTTTTTACATTAAATTTTTTATTACATTCATTTGTATATTGTGTGTGTGTGTGTGTGTGTGTGCTCATGCTTTCGTGTATGTGTGGAAGTCAGAGAACTTGTAGAATACAGTTCTTACCTTCAATCATATAGGTCTTGGGATGGAACTCAAGTTGTCAAGCCTGACAGCAGATGTCTTTACTCGCTGAACCATCTCACCAGCCCATTTGCTGGACAACTTCTTAATGGCTCTGCTTTCCTTTTTTCTTAATCTTCATTATGTGGTTTTGTGTGTGTGTGTGTGTGTGTGTGTGTGTGTGTGTGTGTGTGTGTACATGTGTGTACTTCTGTGCCATAGCATGTACATAGAGGTCAGAAGACAATGTTCAGGAGTCATTTCTCTCTTTCTACCATGTAGCTTCCAGGGACCAAACTCAGATACCAAGCAAGTGCCTTGGTTCACTGAACCATCTTTTTTAGATTAATTTTTTATTACTTTACATTGTGTGTGGGGAATGGGGAGTATGAACCCATGTGTGCTGGTGTCCTATGAGGCCAGAGGAACCAGATCCCCTCAAACTGGAGTTACAGGTGGTTGTGAGCCACTCTGCATGTGTTCTGAGAACCAAATTCAGGTCCTCTGCAAGAACAGAACAAGCTGTTAACCTCTGAGTCCCCTCTAGGCCCTCCTCAGTTGTGGGGGGTCAGAGGTTAGCCCTCAAGAATCGATCTCTCTGCCACTTTATGAGACCTTAGGGTCAAGCTCAGATTGCCAGGCCTACACATAATGAGCCATCACCCTGGCTGCCCACCGTCTCCTAGTCTGCCTCAAAGGAAGGTCATGCTTTTGTCCCTTTGCCCTTAGTCTCAGCATCCCTGCATCCAGCTTACTGTTACTCCAGCTTCTTTTCTGAGGTGGAATGAGTACGTTCTTAGTCTGTGTATTGCTTCAGCTTGGACTTAACATTCCACACATACATATGACTACCTCTAGGGCTTCTCTCGGTGACCTTGCATGGTACAGTTCATCAGTTGTGCATGGCTGATCTAATACTTAAGACACGGTCCTGCTGGGTAAGATGAGAAGTGTCAGTGATCCCAGCGCTGGGCTGTGGAGACAGGAGGATCAGATAAAGGTTATCAGAAAAAGACCCAATAGGGTCTGAGGAGGCAGCAGTTAGGGGTGCTTGCTGCTCCAGAAGACCTGGCTTTGGTTCCCAGCACCACAGCATTTAACTCCCTTTAACTAGCTCCACAGGGTTAACTCCCTCTCTGGCCTCTGTAGGCTCCTGCACACATGTGGCATACTCACACAGACTTACTTGTTTTATTTATTTAGTATAGAGACAGGGCTTACTTTTTAGTTCTATTCACTGTGTAGAACAGGCTGACCTCAAGTCATAGATCCACTTGCCTCTGCCTCCTGAGTGCTGGGACTAAAGGAAGGTTCTACCATGCCCAACTATAGGCATAAAAAATTAAAGTTAAAAAAGGCATAGTCCATTTCTTCCCCATCTGTACCTGCTGCCATTGCCTGCTCCACTGTCCCTCCTGCAAACAGGTCAGCTAACCTGGCCGGTAACTTGTTTCTGCTTCACACTTTCAGGAGGAGACCTCTGAACAGATCACAGATCTTACGGGAGCTTTTTCCTGTTTTTACCCAACTTCCATTCCCAAAAGATGCCTCCTTAAACAAGTGCTTCCTGGTCCACCCAGAACCTGTAGTTGGCAGCAAGGTGAGACGTCAGGAATTGGGTCTTATGGGTAATGGAGGTCTACTCTGCATGGGGCTCACAGAGTGAGTTGAAGGTCCCCACTGCTGGCATCTGGCTTGAAGGCACATTCCCAGAAATAGTTCCTGCAGATCTGTGTCTTGCTGCTCTTCCTCTTTGCAGGAGTAGGAAGTTGATGTGACATCTCTACCTCAAATCAGAACTCAGACTGGCTGTAGACTAATAGTGTGTCGTTATAGTCCCAGCCTTTTCTTTTTGTAAATAGGGAACTGGAACCTGAGAGAGAAACCTTTAACCCAACTTTAGGAGAACTTTGAAAACCCCACCCACAAACAAGAGTCAGGACAGAGAATAGGAAAAGCCAACACTTGAGGGCCTGGGACATTTGAATTGTACTTGAAGGCAAGCGGCTGGTCCTTTCCCATTGGTCAGGGCCAGTGGATGGGGAGAAGCCCTCCTGTGTCTGGGTGTATCCACTTTTGTCTGAGCTGCACTTTTGTTGAGCTCCATACTTGAGGAAGGTTTCAGAATTCTTATTTATTTGAATCATGAGTTTCCCACCTGTGGCCTTCTACCAGCTCTGGTTTGTGTCTGCAGCTTCCTGATGTTCCGTATTTGTTCCAAACTTGCTGAAGTGTGGTGAAGAAATTTCAGAGCCTACGGAACCAGGCTGTGTGGAGGAGAGAGGGCTGTTCTGTGGAGAAGGCCTGCAGTGTGAGGAGGGTAGTACTCTCACCACAGAGTTCACTGATTTGGCCTATGTCCAGCTAGAACTCAGGGCCCCAGGAGGATTTCGTTTTCATAATTATGATAGAATTTTGGAGAGGGACTTTATTTCAACTTTCCCACTTGAATACTGAAGTGAATTTCATCACCTTGCTGAACACAAAGGCATCCAGCCAGAGGAATAAATAAGCCATTCAGATTGTTATCAGAGTGGGGTGTTTGGAGACGGGAGTGGCCCCAAAGGCTGGGATCCTGGGAGCCTGGTTTTTAGAGCATGCGGATCCCCACCCTGGCCCAGGCTTCACTTCAGCTCAGCCTCAATACTCCACCCTGCTGTCCTTCTCCTAGTCTCTAGGCCCTGGTAAAGCCAAGGCCCAGTGTTCCAGGTCAGTCTCCTACTTCTCCTACTCCTCAGTATTACATAGGGCTGGTCCTCAGTCGTCCATTCCATCCTAGGCATGAACGGGACAGTTCTCAAGCTGCTGAGCCTATGAATAAGGGCTGTACCCACCTGGTTGTGGTCTCATGTAGTCTTTCAGGACTATGGATGACAGCATCTGCCATTGTTAGTGCTTACTCCCTGCAAGACAAGAGGCCTCCTCCTCTGCCCTAGTTGCAAGTAAAGTGGTTCTGTGTAGCCTTAGAGACACTTTTGGGCTGTCACTGACGATGTTGCCGAGTAAATCACACAGTTCCTCTTAATAAGAAACCCATAAGTGGCTGGAGAGAAACTCAGTGCTTATGAACACTTCTGCTCTTGCAGAAGACCGGGCAGCTCATAACTCCTAGGACTAAGCTCCAAGGACCCTGGCTAACTCTTCTAACTTCCAAGAGTACCCACACATAGGTTTACAGATAATAAAATAAAAAAATACTAAAAATAAGTTAATAACCTAGAGAAGAGACTTTCACTCAGTACCAGGAGATGCCATGATTAGAAGAGACTAGTTTGTTTTGTATTTTAGACATAATTGTGAAATTTGTTATTAATCATGTTTCCCTCATTGCTCAGCCTGCTAGGAAACTCAAGGCCATATGAAAGGCCAGGCATTTTGGCACACACCTTTAATCCCCCAGCATTGGAGAGGCAGAGACTGGTGGATCTCTGAGTTCAAAGCTAACCTGGTTTACATAAGAGTTTCAGGACAGACAGACTGGGAAAAAAAAAAAAAAGAGTTTTGTCCACTAATCACTCATTTTTTCTTCCTTCTCTTACATCCATTCTTCTCTACTTCAGATGCATAAGGTGCATGACCTGTTTACTGTTGGCAGCGGGGAGGCCATGCTGCAGCTCATCCCTCCCTTCCAGTGCCGAAGACACTGTCAGTCTGTGGCCATGCCCATAGAGCCTGGGGATATTGGTATGTAGGTCCCAGGAGGACAGAGACAATATTTCTTTTTTTGTTTGTTTGTTGTTATTGTCTTTCAAGACAGGGTTTCTCTGTATTGCTTTGGAGCCTGTGCTGGAACTAGCTCTGTACACCAAAGTTTGTATATTTTGTAGCCAAAAATATACAAAGGTTCTATCCAGTTAAGTGAAAAGTAACATTTTACTGACAGAGCCAGTATATTTTGCTGGAAGAGAGCAGGTAAAGTAGCTAGGGAGATGTGTGCACAAGCAGCACTGAGGATGGTGACATCTGTCGGGCATGACTGCTCCAGGTTAGAAGGGTTCTGGAGGTTCTGGAGGATAATTCATCATTTTATAGATGAGGAGGTTGAAATGACAGTCAAATGACCTTCCCAGTGCCCCACAGTCACGCAGCCCTGAGTCTCTCTGCCTGACACAGATAGGCCAGGGCAGAGGAATCCTTTATCCCTGTTTGCAGATCAGACAGTATGAAGTGAAGGGCCACCATCACATGGGTGTCACCTGTATGTGCATCCCACAGCCAAGTCCCAGCTCACACTGGTGGCCCAGCCTTGATTTCTGGCTGTTTCCTACCCAGTATCTTCAGAATCTATCCCAGAGTCAGTTGCCAGCAGTCCTCTTGGCAGAAGCAACGGTGGCAGCAGATGCCACTGCTACCCGTTTGTGCTACCTCACCAGATCTGGAGCCCCTGCCAGGCTGAGGCCAGCTACCGGGTGGGTCCTTTTGCCGTTGGCCATCAGAAGTCCCAGAGGGCCTGGGACACTCACCTCAGTGAGGCCTAGGAGCTGGCATTGTGTCAAGCTTTGCTCCACACCCAAGAACCTTTGTTTGTAATAGGCATGGGGAGTGAGTACAGCACAAACTGAGCAGTAATAATGGGGCCCAGCTGGATGTGTGCTTGGGAACTGCAGCCCTGTTTCCTGCAGTGGAGTGACTGTTACAGGAAACAGGGCTTGCAATTTGTGGTCATCCTTGGACAGGTCTCCCTATCTTGTCGCCTACAAATGCCATTGTTCAGACAACTTCAGAGCCACCATAGATTTTCCAGATTCTAGATTTCCAGTTCCCACAAGCATGCAGAATGCCAGTGACAGAATTTGAAAAGAAGAGGTGACTGGCAGCTGCCAAGGAAGCTTTGGTAGGTGAGAGAGGGAGAGAGAGCAACCTAAAACACAGACGCCAGGCTCCTGGCTGGCGGAGCCTGAATGGCCAGCCACATGGCAGACACAAAAGGGGGGCTGGTACTGAGGAAAGAACAAGCATGGGAAAGTAGGGGGAATGGTTGGTGCCCAAAGCCAGTAGGAATGGAGGCGATGGTACAGCCGCCACAGGTGGTCAGGACTAGAGTCAGACCTGTTGGTGAGGAATCACTTGGAAGTGTGACATGGCCACTCAGGACCCTTAAGAACAGCACTGTGACAAGCTGCTCTATGATTTTTCTTTTCTTTTTTTTTTTTCCAAAATGCTCTTTAACCTGGAAGGTGGGGGTCAGGAATTACAGATCACCAAGAATCCTGAAATGGAAACGTAATCAAGGATGACAAATATTGGGCATAGCACCAACTGTCATGGCACAGGCCCAGCAAGATCACGTGACCCTTTCTGAGCCACCAAGTATTGGTCAATGACACTGTTCTGTGCACTCAGTGTGTAGAGAGGTACCAGCCATCACATCCTAGAGACTGGTCCGTTGAGACTGTTTACCTTAGTAATGTTTATAAAAGAAAGTGTTAGCATGAGATGATTTTATTTACTATTTTGAATTTTTTGAAGCAGTCTGGCTATGTAGTTCTGGCTGGCCTAGATATCACTAGGCAGCCAGCCATGCTGCTGGCTTCACATTTGTAGTAACCCTTCTGCCTCAGTCTCGGGGCTGGCATTAGAGGCATGTGCCACCATCTCCAGTTTCCACGCCTGTGTATTTATTGACTTGACTGACTGCTGGTCCTTTTGTGATAGGGTCTGGCTATGTGATCCTGGCTGGCCTTAATCCTGAAATCTCCCTGCCTCAGCCTTGCAAGTGCTGAAATACAGGTGTAGCCCACACTCAGCAGGATCTACTGTGCTCCATGTTAGCTAGCATGCAGGACAGTCCCCTTCCCGCTCACTCAGATGATCTGGCTCTAAGTTTTCTAAATGGTTCTTCACATCACTGATGACCTGATGGGTGGAACAGTAGCATCCTGAGAAGGCCCTGGAATAGGCTTCCTAAGTTAGGACTTTGGAAGCCGATGTCTTCATGCATGGTACATAGGATGCACAGACCCTGAGAAGTTGTGGAAGAACCATGGGGTCTCTGTCTTCAGATCTTCAGGACAGTGTTTGCAGAGCCCGTGTTGGGAAATGCTGATTTAAGTCAGTCTGTGTGTGTGTTGGAGTAAACATCTTAGGAATAGCCCTGTACTCCCACAGAACCCATCCAGACCTGCATTCAAGAGGCTGAGGAAGGAGGATCCCAAGCTGGAGGCCAGCCTATCTCACACACACACACACACACACACACACACACACACACACACACACACACACACACACACTCCCTTAAAAAAAGACTATCAGCCTGAGAACTCTGATGGCTAATGCTTTCTTCATCTAAAACAGGCTGCCTTGTGACCAGCCAAAATGTGATTCAGTTGCCCAGAAGAGGGTGGGGAGAAAATGTCTGCATGTGGAACGTCTCTTTGAATGTCAGGTCAGAGAACTAGTAATAGCAAGACATACTTACTTAGGCTTCAGAGAGCCCAGAGACCTTCACAGCAAGATGCAGCCCATGACTGCAGACCCATGGCTCTGCCTGGTGTCCCTCTCCCCAACATTCACTGCTTTCGTGTTGCTGTTTTCCTCCAAGGCTATGCAGGTGCTGCCCACTGGAAAGTCTACATTGTAGCCAGAGGGGCCCAGCCTTTGGTCATCTGCGATGGAACCACTCTCTCAGAACTATAGGACACAACTATAAGAACTGCTTGAAGAGCTGAAAACCAGGCTGAAAAGAGTGGAGAGGAGAATAAAAACACTGAAACATTTTCCTTGGGTTGGTTGCTTAGTTACCTGCCCTGGATTCTCTGCCTGTCAGCTGTGCTGGAGACAGCAGCTAGGGCCCACCTGTTCATCTCTGTCCCTAGATCCCTCAGGAAGGGTTGCAGCTTGGCTGCTGGCCAAGACTTTGTCCACATGTGTCACCTCCAGGCCTTTGGACACCGAAGTGTGGAAATGGCCTGGTGGCTCCTCTTCTTGGGCATGACTTCTTGGCAGTGGAGGGGCAGCAGTAGGTCCCATACCCTTCACCTGGTGGATCTGTTTGTCTACTTTTTCCCTAGCCGCATCACTCAGTACAAAAAGGAGGTCCGTGGTTGACTTTAAAAATCACTACAGTTTGACAAGCAGAATGATTTTGGAACCAGTGTGGGGAGGATCAGATAGCCAGAATTTCATTTTTAAAAGCACCTGCTTAGCACCAGGTTTCATGGTGCATATCTTTAATCACAGAACTTGGGAGGCAGACCAATATCTATGAGCTCTAGGCTACCCTGGTTTACATAGTGAGTTCCAGGTTTGCCAAGGATTATATAGTGAGACCCTGTTTCAAGCCCCACCCCCACCCCCAAAAAAGTACCTCCTAGATTCTAGGGATGTAGCTCAGTGGTGAAGTGCTTGCCTAGTGAGTGTGAGGCCCTGAGCGCAGTCTCAGCATCCCAAAGAGGAAAAGGAAAGTGTCCTTCTTCCGTAACCCATGGCTCCTGGAGTTTTTGTGATAGATGCTAGACACTGGGTTACAATTCTAAATCTTAGAGGTTCCTGTGCCTTTCCCACACTGCCCATCAGATTGTTTTTCTCAGACATTCAGCCTCCCCTAGCTGGCCAGTACCCTCGCTCAGGCTGCAGTGCCCTTGTCAACTGCTGCCACGCCCCACCCCCTTCAGAAGGAATGAGTTAGAATAGCTGGCCTGAGGGAGACGGGCACCTCCCTGAGTTTGATCTTTAGGCCTGACTTTCTACGGAGATATTTTTCAGCAGCCTCAGCTGATGTAATGTGTTTGGGGGAGGAGGTGCAGAGCCACAGTGCTTGCTGTCGGTGTGCAGCTCACTTTGTGTCCTACCATGATCCCGTCCTTTTACCAGGAGGCACAGTGAGATGTTGGTTTTGTCAGGATACACGACTGTCCTAATGAGTGACCCACTGTGCTTATTTATTGCTCCTGAGTGCTTTGGGATGTATTCATCGAACAGTGCAAATAAGGATGCTTTTGGTGTTTGCTGACAGGAACTCACTCTGTAGACCAGGCTGGCCTTGAACTCAGAGATCCACCTGCCTCGTCTCCCAAGTACTGGGATTAAAGGCATGTGTCACTGTGTCACCACTGCCTGGCAGGGATACTCTTTTTGCTTCATCTACCACCGTTTTTGTTTTGTTTCAAGACAGGGTTTCTCTCTGTGTAACTCTGGCTAGCCTCAAACTCATGTAGACCTGATTGGCCTTGAACTCACAGAGTTCTACCTGTCTCTTCCTCCCCAGTACTGAAATTAAAGGTGTGTACCATTATACTCAGCTTCCTCTGCCCTCTTACTGGTCCTTTCCTGACATGGTTAGATGCTTGATCACTGATCATGCCTCACAAAGAAGGAAAATAAACTGAGTGGCCTCTGATTCCAAATTGCAGAAGTCAGAGGCTGCACAGTAGGTCTTTATAGGCCAAAGCAGCCCATGGTGATGGAATGGTGGCCCTCTGTGGGGTCCTCTCCATCATTAGAGGGGCCTTGAACCTTCTCCCAGGCCTTCATTCCCTTGCATTTCATGAACAGCAAGCTCCCACCATGGGGAGCACAAGGTCTCTGAGGAGGCTGAGGTGGTTTGTGAAAGACAAGCAGCCTTCACTGAGCTCAGGGTGGAATGGTTCAGAGCCTCCTCAGGCTAACGTAGGAAATGCACCTGGGGGAGCTTTCCCTGAAAGAATGGACCCTTTGTGTGACCAGTGGAGGAAAAACAACTCTTTGTACACGTAGAAGTCCCACTGCTAAGCAGTTAGGGTTTCAGAGTTTGTTGGTCAGAGGACCATGAGAGGCCGACTTTGAGCCTCCACTGAGCTCTTCCCCTGATGCGTGTCAGGTAGGGTTACACATCGTTCCTGGGCCTCCAGAGCCTTCTGAGATTTGATCCTTGGAGAGGAGGCTCAGAGGTGGAGCTCAGAGCCACTGTCTCAGTCTAGAGGCTACCTTTGTTCTTTCCCTGTTTGATGCTATCATCGAGCCTACAAAAAAAAATCTCCAACAGAAAACTAAGAAAACCTTGCCTGTGTTGGCCTTGAGAGGCACTTGGAAAGGCCCAGAATTCCCAGACTTGGTGTGGTTCCACAGTACAGGCTTGTGTGCATGCTTCAGCAGAGACCTGTGTGCAGGTTAGGGGGAAATTTTCAGAAGCTGCTCTCCTCTTAGCTATTACTTGCTCACCTCAAGGAATTCTGGGATTGCACAAATGGCTGGAGGCCTGGAGACAGAAGCAGCAAAGGCCCTCAATGTGTAGTGGCATGGAAAGGAGGGTGTCGGCCAGAAGAGGAACTGGCATTGGGAAGGTGCCAGGACCAGTCTAACCATCTCACCTCAGGTGCCAATGTGAACCAGCCACAGGGCTCCAAAAAGACCACTTTGCCCACAGTGTATGAAGAGCTACTAGGCAGTGGCATAGCGACCTCTGTGTGAGTTAGGTTCATTTTCTTGTGGAACTCTAGGCCCTAGAAATCAGCTTTCTGGGGAGGTAAGTATTTTGAACCAGTTTGAAGCATTTGAGTCCTAGTGGCCAGAGCTCAAGCAGCCAACTCTTGAGTAGACGCCACAGCTGTTCTAGTTTGTGGAAAAGGCAGACTTGCCATCACCACACTCTGGATTTTATTAAGGAGGAAAGGGAGTAACAAACTATGATTTGTGATATTAAAATTCTTCTATTTTATATAATTCAGAGCAAGTTTGGGGGTGGGTTTGAGACAGGCTATTCCTCTGTAGCCCTGACTGGCATGGCACTCACTGTGTAGAAGTTGACATCAACTCACAGAAATATGCCTGTCTCTTCCTTCCAAGTGCTGGAGTTACATGCTTCATTTTCTCACAGAAAGGAATAACATCTAGCCTCAGCACACCTCGAGTTGCATACATAACCCTTTAACCATCACATAGTTCTGTGAAATGTGGGCAGATCCCTATTTCACAAGGAAAGAAACTGAGGCTAGAACAGGAAGTTACCAGCAGGTGATTCCTCCCAGAAAGTGTGCCTTGGCTTATGGGTATGCCCCACTGGGGGAGACTGACCTGGATGGTGAGCAAAATTGGAGCTCGATGGGATTTGCTTCCCAAGTGCTCAGGGAGACATGCTGCAGGAAAGAATCTCACATGATCTTTATAAAAATCTTCTCTATGTCCCTCCCCATTTGTAAATGCACAACTGCATCCAGCCATTTTCCCATCACTGCGTTTCCAGATGTGTGTCTAGTTCCAGTTGTGGGTCTCTTTGGAGTTACATCACTTGTTTTTCAGTTCTCAGTTTTCTATTCCCTTCTTCCAAAACCCAGCAGAGGTCACAGTGCTGCTTTGAAAGCCAGTATCTCATCCCTTCCCCACAGGTGCCCTCAGCTTTGTCCCTGCGGTCTTGATGTGCTCAGCCTATCATTTCCATAGCGACTATGCAAATGTCAGTGTCTCCTTGCCCAGCTGAGGCTAGGCTGCTGGGGGGCGGGGGCGGGGCTCACCTCCTTACCACCCAGCCAGTGGCTAAGGAATGTGCTTTAGTGTGGTACTTCAGAAGCCATGCGTGTCCTTGAGGGAGCTGGGAGCTGTAGATGCTCATGGAGACAGCCGTAAAACAAGACTCTAGTCAGGCAGCTTGTCCTCACCTAGTCTCCAAACACCCAGCAGCTTCCTCCAGAAGAGCATGGCAGGGAGATGAAGCCAAGCCAGGGCCTGAGCACTGTGTGTGTGACTCCAAGGTCTGGGCTCCAGAGAAGCCCTCCAGGCAGCTTGTTGGCTGTCCAGACCACTCACTGTCTGGTTTCCTTGCCCTGCATAATTTCAGCATTAGTTCTAAATACATGTGTCATTTTTCTCCCTCTGGAGACTGGAATGTCCAGACTCTTGAAGATGAGCCAGATGAAAGAATGTTGCATAACCAAGCAAGGACCCTTCGCCTCCACTCAGTGCCTGTCAGTCCGGCAGTGGTCACTAGTCCAACAGCTCCAGCTGCCAGCACCCTGCAGAAGGGGACCCCACCCTGCTGCGTTTTGAGTTTCACACAAACTGGGGATTCAGAACATCTGCTTTGCACTAGGCGTTACTTCATTCCACCACAGCCACTCTGGGGTGGGGTCCTCCTGGGCAGCCATCTTTACCTCACAGTGCCCCTCCCTCAAGTTGCACTTGGTGCAGGACACAGTGGACACAGGCATTTTCCAAAGAATCCTGTCTCACCAAGGCAGCTTACCTTCCACACCTTTCCATGTTCTCTCTAGTACTATAGAAAGAATGACAGATAGCTAGACTAGGAGGAAAGGCACAAGGCAGCCACAGATGCGTCCAGCACATCCTCAGGGACCAGTGCAGTCTAGAGAATCAAGATGTGGCATCTGGGTGGGCCATGTGAGGAGAGAGGCATTCACCTGTCCTAGCCACAGCATACTATAGAGCAGTGACTCTCAACCTGTGGGTCAGGACCCCTCTGGCCCGGGGGGGGGGGGGGTTGTCAGATGGCCTTTTCACAGGGGTCACCTAAGACCATCTGCATATCAGATATTTATACCATGATTCATAACAGTAGCAAAATTAGTTACAAAGTAGCAATGAAAAGAATTGTATGGTTGGGAGGTTACCCCAACATGAGGAACTGTATAAAAAGGTCACAGCATTAGGAAGGTTGAGGACCACTGCTATAGAGTAATTTAATGTAATACAAACTTGGGAAGATTGCACCAGGTAAAGAATGGATGTAAATTAAGGTTTTGTGTAATGGAATTTTTACCTTTTGAAATTAAAAAGTGTGTATGCTGCTTGGTTAGAAGTGTCCTTGTCTTGGCAGAAAGTGGATGGGTGGGTGGTGAGTAGGCAGTTGAGGCAGGTCTGTGACGCTCCCCGGGGGCCTCTGGATGGCTTTGGCCTTCTGTCCCCTCTGTCCTAGGGCTGCACTTGTGCTCACAGCCCTTGTTCCTCACCTGCTACCCATGGCGTGCAGAGTCTCAGGTCTTTGTGCTCTCTCTCCCTCCCCTGTTCATGCACATTTTACTCAGAATCCAAATGTGTGTGTGTGTGTGTGTGTGTGTGTCTTATATAAATACATAACGGGGCCATATCTTTCTTTCTCCTCCTCCTTTCCCTCCTCTTGTTTTTTTTTGTTTGTTTGTTTGTTTGTTTGTTTTGAGATGAGATCTCTATGCACCCCTGGCTGGCCTAGAACTTACTATGCAGTCCAGTCTAACTCACAGGGCTGTCTGCCTCTGGCTCCCAAGCGCTGGGATTATGGGCATACACCACCATGCCCAGTCCCAAGACCATTTCATTTTTCTTACCACATGCTATGTCCTTTCCCTCGTCCCCATGTTATCCCTCAGCTCTCCCTGCTAAGCTTGTACACACACAGCTATGCCCCACTGAGGATCTTTTCATATTTTTTCATGGGTTCTGGTCATAATCATAAAGGTGGGGGAGGAGCATTGCTTTATCATATATGATTTTTTTTTTTAGTTAATCTCATGTAACCCAGGCTGGCACTGAACTCTTTATGTAGCCAAAAATAATCTTGAACTTCCGACCCTCCTGCCTCCACTTCCCGAGAACTGAGATTACAGTCAGGTACCAAACCCAAGGCTTCACATACTGCCAGGTGGCACTGTACCATCTGAGCCTCATCACCAGCCCCTCAGTAGAAGCTTCTTCCAGGTGCCCTGTGCTCAGCTCCCCACAGAGGGAGGGAGATCCCCTAAGGCTGCCAGCTTGGCTCTCTCCCATCCTTTCTCATGGTTAATACTTGGTGGTGTGGCTGTGCCTCCTTTAACCCAGCCTGCAGAGTGACTGTTTGCATTATACACTGAGGAGCTTGGTAGTATTTGTTTGTACAAAATGAAATGTTACTGCTTGGTACCACCCTAATGTTTGTTCTTCAGAAATCATCGCTCCCCACAGTCATAACTGATTTGCCTACTCAGAATTAATCATCTTAACACCTCCGGCCCCAATTAGCATTTGGTTCCATGTTGAAGGGAAGGGAGGTAGCCTGTTCTCAGTGCTAATCTTAGCCCTTGAGAGAATTTGTGTGTGACTTGAGTCCCTCCCTCCCCTCCCTCTCCCCCCTCCTTCCCTGTTCCTCACCTTCAGCGTTCTGTCCCTAGGCCTTGCCTCTACTCTTGCGCTAGAACCTCAGGACTGCGGAGACTCCACCTGCCCTCTGCTCTGCCGGTGGACCTTCTCTGTCTTCTGCACAGATTGCTCAGTAACCCACCCCCTTCCTCCAGACTGCATGGCAGTGTACAGCACTTGGAGGGAGGCTGGCCCGGGGCTGCTCCGAAGCCCTCTCAC